GGTAACACACTACACGTCACATGTTAACACAATACACGTCACATGGTAACACACTACACGTCACATGGTAACACACTACACGTCACATGTTAACACAGTACACGTCACATGGTAACACACTACACGTCACATGGTAACACAGTACACGTCACATGTTAACACAGTACACGTCACATGGTAACACAGTACACGTCACATGTTAACACAGTACACGTCACATGGTAACACACTACACGTCACATGTTAACACAGTACACTTCACAATTCGTCTTTACATATCGTCTGTCTTAATAAATGTTGGTTGATTATTATTATTATTATTATTATTATTATTAATATTATTATTATTATTATTATTATTATTATTATTATTATTATTATTATTATTATTATTATTATTATTATTATTATTATTATTATTATTATTATTATTACCAGTGTTGGTGTGTGTGTGTGTTATCTGCTGGACGGTAGCACATTTCCGGGGTGTGAAGGAGGCAGGTAGGTCTTGCATCAGTGCCACCTTAGTGTGAGTGCCATATTACAGCCTAATTAACACTCAGGTAACACGAACACCAACGATGCTTTATCAACAAATACTTTATTAACCTTTCTCATTTCGTTATTTATTTCGTTATGTATTTCGTTATTTATTTTACTCGGGATAATTTTTTGTTTAATTGTTAATAATTATTGAAGGTTTAAATTTGTAAAGTATGTGTAGTGAAGTTGGTAATGGATAAGTGTTAAAAGTGGATCTTTGTATTTTAGGCACACACACACACACACACACACACACACACACACACACACACACACACACACACACGCACACACACACACACACACACACACACACACACACACACACCAATAGTTACCTTTCATTCTCTTATTCTCTTTGCCATCCACCTGCATTACTCACCTCATCACACTTGCCCCTTATTCTCCTTCCCTTCCCCTATTCCTCTTTTATCATATTCTTCCTCTCCTATGTTTTGTCTTGTTTTTTACTGTGTATCTTATTCTATATTTGTAAGTGTTTTTCTCTCTATCTCTCTGTGCTACACTTAACCTATAACTGAACTGTGTGTGTGTGTGTGTGTGTGTGTGTGTGTGTGTGTGTGTGTGTGTGTGTGTGAGTGTGTGTGTGTAAGTCCTGATGATGACAATGGTGGTAGTAATGGTGGTAGTAATGGTGGTAGTAATGGTGGTAGTAATGGTGGTAGTAATAGTGGTAGTAATGGTGGTAGTAATGTTGGTAGTAATGGTGGGTAGTAATGGGGTAGTACGGTGGTAGTGTGGAAGCATGTGACGCATCCCAATAAGAACACCTGAATCGGTCACTGCCTCTGCTCTCTCTCTCTCTCTCTTTCTCTTTCTCTCTCAGGCATTTCCACCCCGGCCCACACTGGCGCTTTGAGAGAGAGAGAGGAAGGGAAGTGAGTGGGGGAGACAGAGAGAGAGAGAGAGAATGAGGGATGGGAGGAGGAGGAGGGTTAAAGAGGGAGGTAGGAGGAAGAAAAGGAAGAAGGCTAAAATGGAGAGAGGAGGAGGAAGAGAGTTGGAGAGGTGTTGAAGAGGTTTGGAGAGGGCACACGGACAGACAGACAGACAGACAGACACCCCCCCCTTACACCTTCAAGGATCTCTCCTAACTTAACCTAACCTCACCACAACTCACGTCTTCAATATTGACTAAACAATATATTATGCTTCATTTGCTATTAAAAAATCCTTCGTTACATAAAATAGCTAACGTTATCTCACAAGCATTTACATCACACACACACACACACACACACACACACACACACACACACACACACACACACCAGAAGTATTGTGGTAACCATTATTCCAACATTACTAGGCTTACCACTTAATAATTGTCTAGTGTAAACCCTGACGTAAAAAAGTGAACGCGACTGAAAAACATTTTATTGACACCCACCAATATCAAAACAACAACAATGACAATAACAATAGCAACAACAACGACAACAATAACAACAATAACAAAACAATAACAACAAAAGTTAATATGATGTATTTGTCTACTGAGATACCTAAAAATATATACATAAATACAGTATATATATATATATAATTTTCTTTACATTATCTTTTTCAGTTCTAAAATTCCCATTCATCTTAGTGATATTCTTGTGTGTGTGTAAAATATTAAAGCATGGTTGCCCCAGATATCTCTCACTATCTCTCACTATCTCTCACTATCTCTCACTATCTCCAACATCTCCTACTTATATACCTTCCTCCCTCTTTCCACACATTCCTCCCTCCCTCCATCCCCCATCCATCCCTCCCTCTATCCCTTCCTCCCTCCCTCCATCCCTCTATCCATCCCTCCCTCTATCCATCCCTCCCTCTATCCCTTCCTCCATCCCTCCATCCCTCTTCCTCCATCCCTCCATCCCTCTATCCATCCCTCCCTCTATCCCAGAACACGGAAACACCCACCCACAGTTGAAATCCCAACCTAGTGAACTCATTTAAACAGGAAATTATTCTTACTTAAATCTCTACCAGACAGAAATACAAGTGAAGTTCGCCAGCCAACCAGAAGGAGGAGGTAGTGAAGCTGAACCACATACAACAGTTCACTCGTCTCACTAGAATATCACCTTTGTTTGTTTTTTTTTACTTTTCAAACAATTAAATTCTTCTTCTTTTTTTTCTTAGCATAGCCTCGTCTAGTTTATGGTGTGGCGTAGGTGTGGTGTGGGTGTGGCGTAGGTGTGGTGTGGGTGTGGCGTGGCAATAAAGGTTCAACAGTTGCCACCCATTCATTTCAAACATCTTTATTGTTATAGTGTTTTGTTCCTAGACGTAAACTTGACATGTTTGTTTGTTTTTGTTTGGTTTTTCCTTACATATACGAAGTGTCTGTGTGGGATGAAAGTGAGTGATACAATTGTCCTTAATAGTATGTGTATGTTATCTTAGAATCCGAAAATGAAATTGAGAGGCTAAATGTGTGTGTGTGTCTGTGTGTGTGTGTGAGACGGAGGCCCAGGTGACACACGCGGCCCAACTCAGTTAAAATTACAACCAGTATCGTGGGCCTCGGGAAAACAGTAGCACCTCACTGAGCGTCGACTTCGCCCCCTTGTACCCGTCACTGCCGCCGCCACCCCTCACAACTTCATCAGAAGAGCTGCCTTCGGTACCTCACCCTCCTGCAGGACCTTACCCAGGATATTACTAGAACAGGTTAACCGATCGACAATTAAAAAAAAAAAAGTGAATAAAAAAATTGAACGAAAGCAAACGGTGACCGAAAGTTGTGTTTGGCCCTCACCAGCTAGCAATTGGCCTACTTTCTATCCCTACATGATAAAAAAAGAAGTAAAAAGCTAAAAGAATAATTGAGAAGGAGTGAGATACAAGTGTTAATTTTAACTTAAGTGCGTGTCAAAAAAGTGAACGAGCTGAAGTGTGGTTGTGTGGGCGACTCCCGCTCCAAGATGGTCCTCGACACAAAGTTCGGGTAAGTCTAGCCCATGACCCACGAATAAGTCTAGCCCATGACCCACGAATATAAGATAAATAATAAAACACAGTCCTCTTGTAGTGCCCATTATAAGGCCACTCGACATTGATGTTAACCTTCTCTGCCACCTACAACAGCAGCAGTCAACATATTTTCCCTGTTCTTAACCGTTTATTCAGTTTACAGGAAATAGTGTTACGTTTACTGCAATGACAGTTGTGAACGCTTCTCTTCTATCCGTATAAACTAAGTTATCACAAGCTTGAGACGCATTACGCTTAAATAACATGAAAAATATAGTATCACATGAAGATTAATACCTCAGCTTATTTCACCTGATAATTGAACGCCCTTTGTCTAGGTTAGGTTAGAAGAGTCGAAATAAGCAGGGGGGGCTAATCTTCAGGTAATATCTTAATGTTATCTGGACAAGCAAATCTTGACATAGAATCACATAAATTTTGTTAACGTTATAATACAACTGCACTTCAATAACTAAGGCCGTTAAGCTCATAATAAATTAAATAATATTAACTAATCCATCAACAATTAAAAAATTACAGCTCTCTATGTATGAATGAATGAATCAGTACCAAACACACTTTTTAATGACTTGTAACTCGCAAAATCTTGAAGCTTCTACGACAGAGTATAAACCCGAACTAACATACAGATTAGAAGCCTGAATGGTAAACTTTGGTAAACACTCACCCAATGTTTGTCGTGTCAACAGCTCACAGAGGATTAGGCTACGGTACTTCTACTATGAGGAAGTACCTTATACTTGAGGGGGTATGCAGTCCTCGGTGGTGACCCAAATTCCTTTCTCCTTACACCTCACCTAGAAAAGAGAGAGAGAGGAAGTTTTAACACATAAATCTAAGTTCCTCCTACACAGCCTTACCCCCCCCCCCCCAACACACACCTCCAGCTGAACCTTCTACCTCTGTTAAGCATCTTTGGTACCTTTCATGTTCCCATTTACCTGCTCTACAATTACAGGTACTGATGTAAATTACAGACACAGGTTAGATTAGGTTAGTACAGTCTCAAGAGATAGTTAAGAAAGAATATACACATATATTATTTTTTTTTGCCGTTTTGTTTCGTCTGTGTTATATTGTTGTAACGATCAGCACCGAGACCCACTGAGTTATCATAGAGTGTTGCTGGTGCAGTCTGAAAACATAACAACAAAACAAAGCATTAAATGAAGACCCACGGCGAGAATTGGTTTACTAGTTAGTGAAATTTAACAAAAGAAATGACTGACTCCATCCATAAAGCCTAGTACAGTATCCTACACGAAGGACTGAAAATCCCTGAGAAAGATAATGAATTGTGAATCTACCCGACCATAGATTTTCATACTTATTATTCTACTGTACAACTTAATCTTCAAACTGTTTTATAAATTTATTAATATGTTTATTTATTTATTAATATTTTGTCTCTTATTTACTAGTTTACTTTCTCACGTCTTCAGGATGCGCTCTCCAGACAGAGACAATCAGAGCGGGCAAGCTAGGCTGACGGTCATCGGGAGCAAGGCAGTCGGCAAGACGGGTGAGTTCTCTGGGGAGGTGTCTAGCGTTCAGTGTCAGGGTGTCTATTAGTTCGGTGTCAGGGTGTCATTAGTTCGGTGTCAGGGTCATTGTCATTAGTAATAGTAGTAGTAATAGTTGGAGTTTATTATTATTATTATTATTATTATTATTATTATTATTATAAGAGTCAACTAACCAGGTGTTCCTCCTCCTGGCAGCTCTCACAGTAAGGTACCTGACCAAGAGGTTCATCGGGGAGTACCAGTCTGATACAGGTAATATGTCTTCCACATTTATTGTTCTTATATAATTGTTCTTCATATCATTTATTTTTTTCCTCTATAACTACTCTTTCGTATTTCTCTATTGCTGTTCTTGTTAAAATTTGATTTGTTCTTTTGTATTTCGTTCTTTTGATGTGTAAAAGAATTTGATTCCATAATTTCTGCCGTCTTTTTAATTTAATCATCTGCTCCAACTATCACAAACACGTAATATATAATCAGGTTTTCAGTGTATATTAAAAGTAGAAAAGGAAAAGTTACTTAAGTCCTCAATCTTTTGCAATATAACGCAAGAAAAAAACCCCACAAGACGTATTTCCACCTTGCGCTCTCGTGTAACAATTCGACTGCAATTATGGAAATCAAACTTGCAAGACAGCCAGACATATGGCAATAGGAAGTCTGTCATTTTGTAATTAAGTCTCATTTTTCTCTCTCTAGAAAACGAAAAGCTACAGAAAAGCAATTTATCACAAGCCTGTTTGATTCTCTTGGCCTACATTTTCTATCTGGGACGCCTATGTTCCTCTGTATGTTCCCTTGTTTACTCTGTTGAAATAGTTGCCGTCTCTTTTATGATATGTTTGGTTTGTTATTTAGTTATTCCGTAAAAAAAAATAACATGTTTGTATGATTCTAAGCCAGTTTTAAATATTACCCACCAGCTGTCCGCTCCACTATTACCGTTTAACCTGTGTTAGTATATGGCAGGAAATATTTTGAAAATTTCCTCCTTAGTTACGGGAAAATTGGATTTTTTTTTTTTTAGCTGCAAGTCACATCTATAAGTTACTAGCACGGTCTGAAAGTTACTGGCCTCGGATGGTCGGGATGTGGGTTTACCAGGGTGTGGGTTACCGAGATGTGGGTTTACCAGGGTGTGGGTTACCGGTATGTGAGTTTACCAGGGTGTGGGTTACCGAGATGTGGGTTTACCAGGATGTGGGTTTAACGGGGGAAGGTATACTAGTGTGTGGTCCAATTAACGTTATTATTTCCGGGATTGGTAAACACACGCCACTGAACAGTATACCCCAGCTGATAATCACACCCCCCTCCCCCACCAACTCCCTCCCCCTTCACCCACCTCCCCAACCACTCTCCCCTCCACCTTCTTGCTCTCCTCCCACAGTCCATCCCCACCAACTCCCCCACTCCCCCTACACACACACCCTTCACGCGCCACTCTCTTCCTCTCTTATATCCCATAACCGAGAGAATGGGTGGGAAGAAAAGAAAAAAAAAAAAAAAAAAAAAAACGAATCATAGAAGAGTGGTAATATAAAATGAATAAGTGAAAACAAGTAAGAATGGATAAAGTAAGGTGTGATGGATAACAGAGAAGAGGGTGAGAGATGAAGTAACATGAAGAAATGGGTGGGTGAGGGAGTTAAATGAAGGAATGAGTGGATGAAGTAGGAAGCTGAAGGTATTTATAGGATGAAGGATATTGATGGATGGAAGAGATTCAAACGGAAAACTTGGATGAAATTGACTACAAGAAATTGATTTAAGGAAAAGGGAAGAGAAAAATGTAATGAAGAAGGGAAACAGAGAGAGAGTAGATTATAAAATGAAGAAAAATGATATACAGAATACGTGAGGAGAAGAATTATAAGGACTGGATAGATAAGCATAAGGAGAATGAACGAAACTCTCCACTTAATATTTTAAACTTGCTCCCAATTAACTGACCCCCCCCTCCCCACACATTCCCTCCTCTTACCCCAACGGCTCCTCACGTGCCCCCAACAAATATCTGACTTTATCCATTACCAGGGAACATGTTTACTCTCGAATGTTTGTTATCATGGCACGCAAGAATTCCACAGTTTGTGCCTCGATCCATCGCCCCGGCTCGACCCCGTGCTCTTCGTTTACACCGGGATGTTCATATAATCCGTCTTGGCGCCCCGCCGTCTGACGTTAGATGCTCGGAAATTATGTTGGGGGGATCACATAATCATTTGGGACGATAATGTCCTGATTAATGTTTCTCTTAACTCCTTTTGATCTGATAATTCGCATACGGTCACTCACGCGGTCCAGGGTGACATATTTATAGTACAATTTTCAGCATAGCCTTTTTCCTAAGGATTTCATCGTTCGTGATACACTTCATTGAAATAATTGCGCCAGAGATTAATATTAAAATAAATTATCTCAAACTGCTGGTAAAAGATATGATACATAAAATATTCGTGAGGAATTTAATGTGTCGCCAAGCTGTATGTGCTCATCAGTAGAGCAATCTTACAGATGGATGTCATTCGTAATGTTGATTAGCGCCTGCCTCTGGGACAGTTAATTCGGCACGTTATCTGGACATTTTCGATTACTTGAAATATGTTGAAACAGAATGATATGTGAAACAGAAATAGATTAAAACAGGACTCACGCCACCTGGTGTTTTTTTTTTTAATTAGTGATCTCGATCCTTAACATTTTGACTCTAGAACACACAGCAACTCTTGAGGCTTTCAATATATATATATATATATATATATATATATATATATATATATATATATATATATATATATATATATATATATATATATATATATATATATATATATATATATATATATATATATATATATATATATATGCTACAGTCAGTAGCACCGCCCATCAGAAGGTACACTAGTATATCACGTGACTCGGCTAGTATAATAATTACTGCACAACTCACCATAAGCGTGCATTGCATCACTCAAAGCAACTCCCAGTCTTGCAACCGTCCTGCTGCCACCACACGACTCCGCTTGTGTTTATAATCCAAACGAACCAAAGCTAATAAAACTGTATCTTATCCAACGTATACAAGACATCTTAGGTTAGGCAAGGGATGTTTGGTTTGGTTGTCATAAATGTTTTAGAGCCTTTATCACTGTTTACACTCATCTGTTGACGCCACTGGATAAATACCACGCTCTATTCTTGTAATTTCAAAGAAAAATGTTTGTTTTCCTGTTCCAATTTCGTCCTCACTAAATTTCTATATATTTAGATTCATTTCATACGAATCGTGATAATATTCCGTTAACTGGTAAATCTGAGAGAGGCAATTATCAAAGACTGTCCCTAGGATGGTTAACATTGTATTGTGGTTACTGGAAAGGGTATTGGAAAACGAGTTTAAATTGGTTCTCATAATTAGTGTATCAACGGTAGTTAAATCACTAATAACAACGGTAGACAATTAACATTCGTTTTATTCCGGGACGACAAGTGAGGTAAGCGGCCATCTGACAGGGGGAGAGAATCATTAATGTTAATCTATGATGATGAAGTTGGCGGCTCTATCTGACGTCGACACTGGATGAAGAGAACTTCCTGGACTGGTGGATCATGGCGCTATCTGATATCTTGATTTGTTTATCCGTTTTATTATTGATATATTAATTAAACAATGAATTAAAATATTGTAGAAAGGGGAACTTCCTTGGCGAGTTAAAATTAGTTTACATATATAATACGAACCTATTTAAGAATATTTTTTACCAACTGTACATTGAAATTATGGTTAAAATATGTTAATGTTTAATCGGTTGCGTAAAAGGTTTTCTACTTTTAAATTTCGGTTAGACTACGTATAGTTGCTTACGAGAAAATATATAATTGTTAAAAAAATCGTCTCTATCACAGCTTGAACTGCCTTATTTTCATGTATTTAATATATCAACAGACTGACAATCAAAATGTTACACACACCCTCCCCAAGCATTACCATCAACACTACCATCACCATCATTACCGCCATCATCACTGTCACCACCACTGTCACCACCACAATCACAACCACCACTACTATTACCACCATCACCAATAATAATACCACAACCACTACTACCATTAATACCACAGTTACAACCGCTACAACCACTACCACAACTACCACGCAATCACCTGACGTTAAAAAATTCGACTACATGGCCAAGTTTTCTTGTTAAACGATACAGGAAGACTTTGAGAACGCTGAGACCACGTGACCTTGACTACGCTGTACAGATCTATCTAACACTGCGTAGCAAACACTGCTCACATAATTAAGTTTTACTTCAGATCAAGATGAAGACTAACTGCGGAAGTGCGTATATTTACATACTTAGCAAACAATAGTTAAAGAAAAGTTGTAAAAAAATAATATTCCACAGGGTAAGTGGTGTAAATTTTGTGTTCTGATGGGCGCGCCCAGGGGAGTACAGGTTATTCTTTTTCTTTTCCTCCGAACACTAAAGAGAATTGTACACACTGAGTCACAACAAGCTTACTATTGGAGACAAAAAGGTCGGGTATGTTGCATTAGCACTGTAAATACATTATCTACAAATAATTGTATATAGGTAATCACAATGAAATTGTAATATCTATACGTAAGCACGAATTTAACAAATTGTAGTGCATGGCTGCCACTCGAGCTCCCAAAATTATCGTACAAACAGTTCGATAAGAGAAAATGGTATCGTACATCGTGTCGAAGATGAATTTATCGTACATGTACGATAATTATCAAAAGTGTGGCAACGCTGCTAAGGAGGGAACCACACTATCACCACGCGGTGCAATCTCCTTGTACTTGTTACGTTTTCCCACCCCTCAACCTTCGCCAGCAACACGAGGCATGGTTCAAAACTATTACAACACTGTTATGAATAAATGAAATCACTGTGATGAACGAGAAATCAGCACAAACCTGTCGGGCCAAGAAGGGTGACTAGTGTACACTGTATTGGTAACTGATGTTATTTTTATTTTATAGTGGTGTAGTCACTCAGTGTTACCAGATTTTTTTGGAAAAAATTATAGAATTGCTACAAAATTATGCTAAAAGTAGCACAATTACGCTAGAATTTTCACAACTTAGGCAGAGATCACCGCATAATACTATAGCATTACCAGTTAATATAGGCTTAAGAACATAATATATCAGAAATATGAATCACAGTACAATATTAGATATAAAAAGAAATGTGACCACATTGGTGATAATCTGTACTTCCTGTATAACATAAATGGCATCTGCTCAAATAATTTTTTAAATGGTTGATTGTAAAATTAAATGTGGTTTAACAACATTAAAGGCTTATCTCCAGACCTTTCAGGTGGATGAACACACACAGTAGCACCCTGTGTTATTTCTGATGTATGTTTTTATCCAATGACACAGCAGGCTCAAAGATTAAACTCGCCTTTATTCCTTCACCACTCATTACTTTATCACAGAGAGAGGCATTTTAAGCCTATTGCGCTTTCTTCAGGTTCACAACAACTGCCTCTCTCCAATCCTCTCTCCTTTTCTAGCCAGCCACATTGCCGCCAATACATTGAGATAGAATGAAGCTATGCTACTCCTATGGTTAACTACATTATAATATTCCAGATTTAGTCCATATTAAAAAAAATTATGTCAGATTTTTGCTAAAAGTTGAATTATGCTTAAAAATATATGTCAAGCTGTAATATTGGGTGGAAAGCAGTCTACAGAGTGCCAGACCACACCGAGTTTGCCAAATGTGCGTCTTGAACATCTAACAGTCATACGCAAACATAAAATTATTTTATTGTATTTTTTTAGTTCATATTGGCGCATGAAAACCCCGAAAGTGTTAATTATTACCGAGACTGAAAAGGGCGCCGGAGGTGCATGTAACCAAACCAACATCGAACGGAATAAATTCAAAGCCATTATTAAGTTTGCATGTATTTCTACGACATTCCCTAAAAACACTATTGAATCATAATCAGTGAAAAAAATTAAAATAAAAAGTCGTGTGTTGAGCCTGACGCATCGACACCACCACCTCCCTCCACCCAACCCCCAGTACCCAGTTTACCAACTTTGGAAGCCCAATTCAATCGACGCCTCATGACGCAAGTGGGATAAATCCATTATTCTTATGACTCCAGACGTGAGGGAGGGGGGGAGGGAAAGTAACATTATATGATTACCCTGTAGGAAGTCTTTCTCTATCCATCTGTAAGAAAAAGTAATCCTGGTGCAAATAGAGCAAAGTGTGTCTAATGAAAGTCGATATTTTTTTTACTGGTTGCGATAGAACATTTTATTAATTTATATTTATATAGGGATATAAACTTTCGAAAAGAGAAATGTTTTGCTTTGATCTGCCTGTGGGATGAAATATTATTTTATAAGTGTGTTATTGTTGTGCTAGCGATCTCTCTCTCTCTCTCTCTCTCTCTCTCTCACATATACAAGCCCTGGGTCCTCCCTCTTCAGTTGCTTTTCTGCTCGTCTTGAATGTTGTTATGGTCGTGTATAGCTTTCTGTTATGGTCGTCTAATATAAGTTACTAGTAAGTGGTCACTAACACCGAGCTGTTCTTCTTCCCCTGAACAGACATGATCTACCGCGCCACCATGCCAGTAGATGGCTCTAAGATCGCGCTAGAGATTCTCGACTTGTCTTCCAACCTGGTGAGTAGATAACGAGATGGACTGAAGAGTAGACAGATAAACAGAACCGAATTTAACTAACAAAGAGATGTGTGTGTGTGTGTGTGTGTGTGTGTGTGTGAATGCTTTGTACACTTCACCATATTTAATTATACATCTCTGTAGCGGAATATATGACCCTGTGCCCCGCTACTACTACAGAAACACAACCAACTGGTACAGGACTTTCTGTAATCACTATGTATCTTACTTGACATCTCCACACTCACAAAGACAAGAATTACGTACTATTAAACCTGATTTCTTTCTCTCTCTAGTTTTCTTTCTCGGATAGACGACCTTTTTAAGGTATCATTCCCGCCAATTAAAACCTCTTCATTTCTTGCCCCCCCCCTCTCTCTCTCTCTCTCACTGTCGTTCATCACATGACCTTAGATCGAGTCTTCCCCTGGCAGGATGAGGTGGTGGTGCCGCGGGAGACAGTGGCGTGGGCAGAGGCGTGGCTGGTGGTGTACAGTATCACGTCCTGGGAGTCGTTCCGTGTGGGCGTGAGGGCGGTGGAGGCGGTGACGGCGGCGTGTGGAGCAGACCAACCCAACCCACCTGTACTTATCATGGCCAACAAGAAAGACCTGGAGCATATACGACAGGTGAGACGAGACATTGTAGGTGATAATTAAAGAGTTGACAGGTAAGGTGCTGTTACAGGGAGACCAAGAGATAGTAAACTATAAAGACTAGTGGATATAAAAGACTACAGGAAGTAACAGATACTACGACGTCACAAAATTGTATGCCTTAAAAACTAAAACAACCACATATAACTGCACCCGATAACCAGCATTAACTAAAGCACGGAAAAACAACAATTGTTTGAATGTAATTTACGAGTGAAGCAAGGGGGTGAGATGTTGCTTCCCAGAATCACAACGAGGGACCTGGGAAGTCACTGGCACCCAATCATTGGTTGCCAAAGTCTATATAAGACAAGGGAGCTTTGTCAAACAGCTCCTGGCCGATGATTGGCTAACGGCCACGGCTCTGCAGCCACTCACAACCTTTTACACTTGAACAAATCAGAAAATAGCTTGCGCATTTGTCTTTGAGTTACACTTACAAACGTTCGCGGGAATGTTCTACCTAAGTGAAGTCTGTGCTGGGCGTCTTGGGTGTTGCCGGGGATTAGAAAAAAAATTGGCGGAGGTTGAATAAACGTTGATAATTATACATTGGAAGATGTAGACAAGTTTTGCATTAATTAATTCCCTTAGCTAACACCACACTTGAGACGTTAGCGTGAGAAAAAAACACAGAAAAGGTGAATATGAGCTTTATATTCACAGTGTATATAACCACAAAATTAATCTAAACGTTATTAACAATTAGAACTATTTTATTCTAGATGGGGATAGTGACATATAACAGATATCACCCATCATATCTTTACGGCAATTGAGGAACATGGACTACGTACTATCGTGGACAAAAGTTCGCTCCTTCCCAAACCGAAGCAGTATCGACCCGCACCAGATAACAACCAGGGTAAGGCAGTTGGGAGACTCATTCCCGTGTCTCAGTTTCACTACAGGGAGCGAACTTTTGTCCACTAGGCTGAAACAAAAAAAATATATATACAAACGTACAATCGGAATGAGGACGAAAAGGGGAAGGAAGAGAGGACAAAGTTAAGAGTGAAAGAATTAGAAGAGACAGAAAGTACGAAGGCGAGGAAGTAAAATTGGAGAGAGAAGTATTTCACATAATAAAAGTATCCCCTGTATACAGTAAACTGCAAATAGGTTGAACAAAGCGCGTCCTTGGGTGTTTACACTTTGCAGGTGTTTACAGGCCCAAATCACCACCACACAGTGTGTTTGTGATGGACCTGGACACCTACACACACTCCAATGTTGAATGAAATTGCCATCAAAACCACAACCTCTTCTCTCGTACAGCACAAAAACGGAACCTTCAGAGGCTTCAAGGTTGCCTGCTCCCCCCCCCCGACTGAGTTAGATACTAGCCTATTCGTCGAGTGTCTTACCGTGACTATGAAACTTGTCTGTCTTAACTAGTATATCCCACTTGACTGTGAATATTCAAGAGGATAGATTTACTAATTGTTTTAATATCATGAAGAGGTAAACATACCCATAACAACAATATAAATTTGGCTCTCAACGAAACCTCCCGGTGATCCCAGACTGTGTGTGTGTGTGTGTGTTTAAAATGCCAGATTCTCACCTAAGTGTGTTTTTGGGTGTGTACTGTGTCCACGTTAGAAGATATCTCATCAAAACACAATCATACAGTGGACCAATATTTAACTATAGCTTTCTACATGATATTTACTTAGGTTTCTTCTGTGTTGAACGAAGGCAGGGTGATTTATTTATTTATTTTTTTATTCGAGAACCCTAAATAATTATCATACGCTAAAGACTATATAACTTAGCAACTTAATATTTTGCTTGAATGTTGACTAATGTTACACAAAGACGTGACATAATCCGGATTTATTAGGGATCAAGTGATTCACCCCGTGACCCGTCAGCGGCCTTTAACCTAACATAACCCCCAGGTAGCATTAGGGTGAGTTCATTGAAGAGTTCAGGGCTGGCAGGACTCGGTGTGCGAATATATAATCAGCTGTATTAATATGTCGGAGATTCCCTGATCCTCCTGGGAAGAACAAAGTAATATCCCCCCCACCCCCTCCTGGCCTCCTGCCAACCTCAACTAATTCTGACTCGTTAAGACCCTGATAACTGCCGGTTCCCGTCTCCCTCCTCACCACCTGTCGCCTCGTTCCTGTCTACCTTAAGTCGTGTTCCAGTGTATAATTCGTCCACTCTTCCTTGTGTTGGGTTCTCGACTAATATGACCAGGTAACGTTTACAAAGACTGGTTAATCTCAGATATCAGTGAAGCAAAACTTACAAGTAAAATAACAATAATATAAACTTTTCAATGCGTACAAGAAACAATAATGACAAAATAACTAAATGGGAAGTTGCTCAGTTCGTGAATTTAGCCATTGACAAAACACCATTAAACTTACAATTAAATTAATTACAACATACAGAATTTAACCTAACAGGAGCAGGAACACTTACAACATATGAGAAGATAGTTCACACAATGCAAATAACAATGTACTCACCACTATGGAGGAGGAGAGACCCACATCCATACCGCCCACAACCTGACTAACTGTTACCGGGTCACGGGTAGGTTAACCCAACACCAAACCTTGAATGAATGAAACGAAGCATTAAGACAGTCCAGTGTGACGACTCTTGGCAGTCCTTACCAACTTTTTACTTAGCCAATAGATGGCGACTGTTGTAACAATTAGTGTCCATAAGGAGTGGTGACCAAGTTGATACATAACTTGCATCGTGTCCGAAGGGTTGCTGGTTTGATCCCAGGGCAGTGCCTGTCAACCAAGCTGTAAATGGACACCTCACTTTACAGTTGAGGGAGTGAGAACTGTACACTACCTTTTGCACCAAAGGCATACAATAATATACTGCGTGCCCCGCAGCGTGGGCAGCACTTTCAATTAGTATCAAAGGCCAACACCAATCAGTGTTCAGCATCAGTTAGTTAGGTTAGGTGAGTTTTACGGTGTTTAAACATCATGTAAGGTGCCTAATTTTTATGTGATCCCACGTTGTAGTGCTGTAGTTATTGTCTTACACGCACTGATTGTCCATTTCCCTGCAGGTTCCAGAGTCAGAGGGGAGGAAGCTGGCAGAGCAGTACGGGTGTCGCTTTGTGGAGGTGTCTGCCGCCGAGATGGTATCACAGGTGAGTGTGCTAGTTATAATGCCTTCTTGTATACTGAACACTTAATTTCTGCGCTGTACTGTATCCCCATTACATAAATGCCCCTCAGGCCGATGAGAACCACTTTCACTCTTTTTTTTTTTTTGTACAGTATAACTTTTATATAAATGTCCGTCCGTTACGCTATTGCCATCTCCCTCCCTCATGTTATATACGTATATTTATCTCTCTATGGTGAACCCATTTCCCTTTTTATATTCCCTTGCTATCAGTTGGTCTTTCTATCATCTATGTGTCCACTTATGTATACTGTACAAAGAATGTTTTTTCTGCTAATCTATCGCATATATGATCTACAGTATATGTCTTAGTCTGTATGCTTTCTTGTGTCTCACCAGGTGAACGAGTCCATTGACGGATTACTACGTCAAGTGTCTCAACTCAAGGGTCAGACGTCACCGCGCTTACGCAAATTGAGCGTCTCTAAGATGTTCAACCAGCTAATGAATCTGAGCAGCGGAGGCGGTGGCCACCAGGACCACCGTCCCGTCATGCCACGGGTCTCTCTCAGGGACCGAACCAGGAAGAGAGGTCACATTCGCCAAAGCTGAGACCATCTTGAGGTCCAGAGATGGATCACTGCAACTGTGTTAGTGTAGTGTAATGTAGCCTACGGCTGCGGACTCTACACCCCAAGATTTTCTAGGGTAACAATTTTATATTTTGACTTGTGTCGAAATATGTCAGGTAGAGCCTGATGAAAGATTTTTAAACAGTTTACTCCAGACCTGAGACAAGTATTACCTGAGATGTAACTGTAAATGGGTTTCTCAATGAGTAAGTAAGCAGCGTCCCGTGATCCATAAAACAAATTTTGGATTGATCAAACCAAGGCTATGGGGTATGCCATCTGGTCACGACGTAAGCCATTCTGTTAGGCATTTCCTAGTCTTGAACGACAGGGGTCACTGGAGGCAGTGGTGGCTGTGTTGATCACTGTTACTATGTAGGGTCTGAGTGAGCGAGTCTCTACAGGTCTCCGGTGAGCCAATTGAAAAAAGGAAAATATTTTTTTTTATAGAAACACTTGTATCTTTGAAAAAGTACATGAAATGTTTGTCTGTTTCCCTGAAGATTTGTCTGGATGTTGCATGACGCTTGTTTCATCTCATAACTTTATGTCTACAGCCTCTAGCTCTTACTGGATATTCAGATATTTATGAATATTTTTTTTTGCTGGAGACAAATGAGTGAATACGTATAATGTCTGAAGAGGATTTGAATTTTATGGACAACCAGATGGAGAGAGTACCGTTCTTCACACCAACAAGGCTTAAATGAAACTGAATGATTTTCTGTAAGTGTCCCTGACTTGAAAACTTTACTGATTATTTCTTTTAACTGACCTATTCTCGCATTGGTGATGAACAGACGACAGAATGTGCCGTTACTTTTTTTTAAGGAAATGTTTCATGTTTCCAAGAACAGTACAGTGTTGTATGCATTTTATCGAATATCTTGGATACTGGAGATTTTTTGGAGTGGATGAATCTGAAAGTTACTTTTTAGAATAATTACGAGTTTATGGCTCGTTATCATGACTGATCTTACACATAATGACTTATGTTTACATATCCTCAGATGAGTACAGTATACAATGACATTCAAAGTGCAAATTGCATTTTTATTAGTTTATAAAGCCTTTTTTTATATGCTGTACAGTATTGTAGCTTAAAATGCATCTTTTTGCTAATTTAATATTATTTTGATTATATGTTGCAAAGTTTATGAAGTACAATACTGTATTAGCAAACGATTTGGGAATGCCTCTCACATCAGACTTGGTATTGTTTGTGTGTTGATGACAGAAGTTGCCAAAGTGATGTTGGCTGCTGCAATAAATCTGTTTTGGACTGATGGCCTTTAGTGTAGTAAGCTGGTCCACAGCATTAATGAAAGATCTAAGGCAGATAAAGACTTCCCCATAGCCAAATTTAAATACCTGTACATTATGAGCAAAACAGAAATCAAAGGGCGACTTTCCCTTTAAATATAAAAATAAAAACATGCTCAACATTTGTATCTGTGGTGGATTACTGTTACATCAATAAGCTGGATGTCATATGAACGGTGTTGAAGTCGAGGATCACTTTTGAACACTTATTACCTATAATAGAAGTGAATAATTACAATACAGCATATCCCTTTAGGTATGCAAAAAAAAATAAATAAATAAAAAATGCATAAGAACATCTTAAACACTCATGGATTTCTGGTTTATGGATATCACATAAGTGAAAATGATGATGACTTGAACCCACAGGTTCGAAAACAGAGAATCATGACATGGTAGAATGTGGTGGTCTCACATCTTAAAGCCCAGCTGGTTTACACTGTAGAGTACTTCTATTCAGATTCTTATAATTTTTATGACCTTGTAAACCACCATTTTACTAAAAAAAAATGGAACCCTGGAATAAGTGTAACTCGGTTCAAGATTTAATGAAGAACGGTAAATGAAATTGTTTTGGCTCTGGGAGCTGGTATCCTTGTCGAGAACCTTGGTATTGCTGATCCTGCAGGTTCATTTTCCCAAAGCAAAAAATACAACACTCTTGTGTCTTGATTTGTATTAAACATCAAAAATATAACTAGAAAGCTCATCAACTAGCAGTCTGAAGATAAATAACTCCGTAAGGCAGACAAATCTGACAGTAGTTCCCAGTACTGTATTACATGTACAGCACAGGAGACCTCCCAAGATGAAAGTTGTAAAACACAAGTAAAATCAGCCAGATAGTACTCATTTATTGCTTTCTTTTTCTTTTATATGAACCTACAGTTCTTATGGTATTGGAGCACCTCCTCTACAAAGTGGAGGATCAACTGAGAGTGATCTTGTTATATTAATTATTCTTCTTGGGGGATTTTCTTTTGAAAGACGTATTCTTTGCTAAAAAAAAAAAATATATACAAGTTCTTGGCCCATATGATTTTGAATAATATTGTTATGATCATTTTAAACGACTTGACTATTATTTGTTTTTATGTTTGGATCAACGCTGCATGGTGGCAAAAACAAATTCATAAAGATTTAGGTGAGAGAAATCCTGTACTGTATTTTATGTTATATAATATAGTACATGCAGCTTTTTGGAAACAACTGTGAGGTGTAAATAGTGAAAACTAACATCTGATGTTGAACCAAATATCAAGAATATTATCAGTCTTATTTTTGTCTTATTCTACAAAGAAAAGAAATAACCTTCAAGGCACTGAAGAGCCTCTAGGTTTCTACATTAGTTAAATCACTATGATTTACTGATGGTAGACATACACCAAGTACTGTACTGACAAGATTTTGTTCAATTGTTTACCGGTAAGCCATTGGAAGGTGTACATCCTCCCAACAATGGGTTTGGAGCCCCTTTGGTGTTGTACTGACGTGTTCGGATCCTTGACCTGAGGGTCTGAACTAAATTGTTAATACAATTTTTGTTTAGAGGATTTTTTTGACATATATTTAAAGTAATATTTTCCAATGTTCCAAATATATTATGGAGATGGACCTTTAGATATTATATGCATTAATTATATTATTGACACAACATAATGTAATATGTATATGAATAAACATTTTGATAAAACATATATCTTAACACCAGTATCAGGTCTTTAATTAAAGACAGACTTGAGTTGACGTGACTGTCTCAGTGTGTTTGTGATTGCTTTGTACGTTCCTATATACAGTACTGTATTTGATATGGTGGCTGAGTGGATACAACATTCATTCCCTGTTCTAAAGGTAGCTACTTCACCCCTAAGGTACACGAAGTTTACCCAGTTGTGAATGGATCCCTAATTTTATACTTGAGGAAGTGAAGGAACAAAAATGAACCACAAATTTTGTCATGTATTGAAGAAAAAAATATACACACAACTGACACAGATACATGAGTTCATAGCTCTTTTAGTCAAATGAGACCTAAAAAGACTTGTCTTACTGATAGGATGAGAGAAATGTTTTCCTCTGGCCCTCCCCCCCCATCAGCTCGGACTACTGTCTTCTCAGAGTGCCCTTGGTTCATGTGGGCCAAGCACTCATCACTAACACAACTGCTGACCAATTTTTAGTCACCTTAGTTCACCATAGAATCATCTCAAACACATATTTAACATAATTATTTTTAATCTCACTCTTAATCAAGAATTTACTAAAGAAAGGTACTGTACTAATGATACTACAAAGAGTTTACCACTCATTACCAAGTAAGTACAGTACTGTACAGGTATCTCTTACTAATACATTTCTAAATATTAACAGTCACCCAATTTTCAAAAAAAAAATAATAGTAATTTGTAAACATCAATTATTAGTTCCTGAAAGACATGAGTTGGTAATAAGTGTGAGAGATTTAAGGATTGGATGGATGTAGTGATTGTTCCACTGAAGGAAAAGGCACAAAGAATGAAGATAAGAACTACATTGTTGTCCTGTGAACAGTAGGGAGGTGGTGCAAGAGAGCAAACACCATTGTATTAAAAAAAGGACTTAAGGAAGAATGTATTATGTGACTCCATTTTTACATAAAAAATAATGGGTGAGAAATACTGGATAACAACATTAAGTGGTGTAAAAACGTCTATGACTGAAGTACTGTAACGGGGGAAACATTACAAAAGGTGGTGGAATGTATGGTGCAGGAAAGCCAATGGATAAAGAACGTGTGTACAGCAGTCTGGATTTCAAGTACTGTACAGTACACTAAATTTTGTCATTGACTGCTTCACATATGCACTGGTTTGATGGTTTAGAAAGGTTTAGGCCATCAATTGCTATTACTGGTGTACAATTGGAACTGCTTGTTAGAACTGTAAGCTGAGTATATTAGTAAATGCAGATAATAGTCACAACTATGCACTCTGGAAGAGGTCATATACCACTGGGAAGGATTTGGAGAACATGTTCAAAAACAGATAAAATAAAGTAAATACAAACATATATCACATTGTGAATCGTAGTACAGTACCTCAATAACATTCTTGACAAGTACTGTACTGACCATTAACTGGTGGAGTAATGTAAGCCTATAAACTTTTCCATAATTTAGAAACAGAATTTTCTATGCCCAGTAAATGCAATTATCCTTGTCTGAAATATTTTCTTCCAATTGCTATATCACGTGATGTGTGTACACAATTAAATCAAGGGCAAATGGACGGATATGTGTACAGACAAACAACCAGACCAATAAGCGTTTGTTGCATTCACAATAGAAACATGAAGAACCCAAGGTGGCTATGTTTAAGGAGATAAAGGTTGAGTGAATATGGCCAGAGGTACACAATTGAGACATTACAACAGTCTAAATATAGGAAATGACAAGGAATATGGAATAGAAACTTTTCAGTAGCCAAGTTGGTGGGATGAAAAATAACATCAGAGTGAGTTCTGACAGACAAGCAAGTTCTGAAAGTCAAACAAACAGCAAGTGCTTTAATGGACAAATGACAGAAAAACAAAATATTAAGTATGCAGCATGAAAAATGCTATAAGGAGTAGTGGGAACTGCTTTACTATATGCCAATAAGCATGGATCTGTAAAAATATTCATTGGACTGTGCAGGAGTGTATAACTTAAAAGTGAATGGTAGGAAGGATAAGGGAATGAGGAGGAAATGGAAGAATAGAGTAAAAGACACGGTAGAAGTGAGAGGCATAAGAATTCTGGAAGCAGCTTTGTGCATGAATGAAAGGTAACTTGACATTGAGTGATAGTATTTGAGGAAGGACATGCTGATGGATGATACTGTACTGGCTTATGTGAAGCAACTGGGTATAACACATAGACATTTGAGGCATTGTAGAAGGGGAGCACCATAGCAGAAAATCTTGATTAGCTGTACATTATTAATAATGAATGAGAACAAATGATGGGAGAATGTGCGCATATGCCTTTTGTTCAATACCAGCCACCCTTCATTAAGCAGGAAAGGCTAGAATATGTCAGATAAATGAGTCTAAATACATATGAAAAATAACCAAAGGTCAAGCATACTGGAAGTGATAAAACACTTTTGCAAAATGGCATCCAGGAATATTGTGAAGCAAATAAAGGAGCAAAGACTTCTCTCCTGTGATTTCTCTATGGGGTGCAAGGTGGTCACCCCTAAGAAATAATGGAATTTTTCACTGCAAGATCGTTACATCTGGTGCATTTTAAAGTCAAGGTAAGAGAGTGGTTAGGCCAAGCAAGGAAATAAGGCATGTCATTTGGCCCTGGTCCTGGCACTTAATAAAAGCCTCAGCAACCCCTTAGAAGGATTTCCAGAAATACCCAGGGATCATTGTGCTTTAAGTGAACAAACTACCAAGGAAGAATGCTTCTGGGATACAGGGAGATATAAAGAACCTTTTCTAACCATGGAAATCCCATCACAGGGAGTTTCTAGCTGCATGCAATTTACAAAACTTTGAGCAGCATGGAAGAAGGCATCCGAACTTGAGGTTATACTGCATCACCTATTAATTCAATCTTAAAAATTGATATAAAGATGTCACAAGTAAAGTTACCATTAAGTGTGTTTCACATGAATATTTGGTGTCTTTATCACTACTATAATCCAATAGCCAAATCATATCAGGCGAACAGGGTAAAGTACACGAAGGTTAGACATGTACCAATAAATCTGAAGGCAGCTTCTATCACTTATCACAACCAAAAATAACAATACTGTATACTTAAGTAAACACAATATAAGCCTGAGTTACATACTGACATATATTTGAAAGTCAAAGACTATTATCCATCTGGGATTAATTGAAATCCTGTAATATTTATAACAAGGTTCACATCCCTCAGGATACTGTATATGATAGTACTAAGACTACCCAGAGAACTAAACAAATCTTATCTTTTCAAGCTTCTAGTGGCAGCTATTACTGTAGTATAATGTACAGTAAAACTCCACCTACTTAAGCATGATAGCTTATTAGGATGTTTTCTAATTTCTTAATTAAAAGATATGAGCCTGGGATCATAATGCTAAAATCTTTGAAAATTAACTTGGTTTGTATTTTGATTTGGGTAACACTAATGTACCCTAAAATGTGAAAATAACCAATCACAGGAAATTATTCTCAGGACACAGGAACTGAAGTTTACAGAACGATGACAGACAACAACACCACTATATTTCAATATGCCCTCATTACATGCAGGCACAGACAAATTATTTCCAATTAATACCACACACATCAATGGTATAAGTGTTTTAATGTGTCAATGTGCATTTTGTCTTCCAAATTAATGTATTAAAATAAAAAGTTTAGTATTCTTAATAATTTAAATAAATAATTACAGAAACAAATTTGCTTATCTGTACATATCTACAAACTGTACTGTTCAGTATATCTATTACACATACAATTGTATACACACAAAAACAAACAAACAACAATATAAAGAAATACTTCTTCATACAGAGGCTGGTAGACCAGCCCAAGCTGTGGAATCAAGAACAGTACTGGGCTTCAAAATAGCCATTGACAAAATTATCAAGAACAATGGAAGGATCCTACACAGGCTCCTTCCCTCGGCATGGCCACCTCTAAGGGGTGGCCATTCAGTAAATAAGGTAAATATATACACCAGACTTCAATGCACTATAATTCGCTTTTTTTTTTTATTCTCCGAGGTGCTCCAGATCGCCCCACCATTCACGGGAAACACTTTAAAAAAAGTCTGGAAAATCTAGCATCAGTCCAGCTGGTTTGCGTGTACATACATGCAGTTGAATGCCTGTGTGTAGGCGTCACATGCCACAGTCTGAGTCCTGCCTTCATATGTATCATATCAGTGCACCGTGCCTCACTGCATAATCATTTCCATAAACTTTTAGTGATTTACTACTAACTTTTTGTGTTGTGATGGCTTCCTCCACTCCATCAATGTCTCATACCCCTACACCTTCCAAGAAGAAGATCCTGTCCTTGCAGGTAAAGTTGGAGAGGAGTACATTACTGCATCAGTAAGAGGTCAACAGAAAAACCCTCGTCAAAAAGTGTGGGATCAGGAAGGCACCCTTCTATGATTTTGTTCATGCCAAGAATAAACTCAGGGCCAAGGCATAGAGTATTGACACAGGCGGGTCCAAGACATAAGTATCTTGTGAGAGGAAGCAGCCATTTGTGGATCTAGTTCTAGATGATGCAGTGTACACATGATATACACAGCAATGCACCGAGAGTGTACCAGTACAAGGCATCAAGGTTAAAGACCCTGTAAAACGTCTTGCTGACACCTTAGCCACCAGAACTTTAATGTCAGCTCTGGATGGTTGTTCAGAATTTGGAACAGGCAATACACAGGTATTATATTGTGTTTCAGTAGGGTAAAGGGCTCTGATGGAGATCTGTTGGGCATCAAGTTATGAAAAAGCTACATTGTACTGTACTACTAATTACAACACCTAGGCAGGACCACCAGTTCTTGTTTTCAGTTCAGTACAGTACTTCAATATCAAAATTTCAACACTTGATTACTCTTTATGACAAAGTTTGTGGAAAACAGTTCTTTACAAATGACTGATCTTTTCAAAATATTATTTTCATTCCTTGTATAGAAAATTCTCGATAATTTGGCATGGATGAGGCTCTGGCCAAGCTGAAATAATGAATTGACTGAATTAGCCCAAATTTACAAATTTTCACACTCATTTTGGAAGTTCCATGGCAATTTAGCAGACATTGGCCAAATGCCAAAATTAACCCCAGAACTTCAGCACCATAACCTGTTGAATTAGAGCGAATTTCAAATCAATAAATACCAAATTAATGAGGATTCAGTGTATTTGTTAGTATGAAATAGTTCATTTGTCCTCCACCCTTTACAAGTTAACAAAGATAGTCAAACTATTTTTTGCAAAACACTAGAAGTCCAATAGATTCCATATATAAATATCAAGGATTGATAATGAAACACCATCTCACAGGCAAGGCCTGAATCAGGCAACTCAATTACAGCCAGATAAGGCTATAAGTTTCTGAAGACTCATGATATTTTTGACTGAATGTTTAAAAACTTAATTGACCTTCTTATCACAACCCTATCCCATTAATCAAAGAGGAGGGGAGGTAATATTTACTACTGAAGGTTGAAAGCTGGAAATCTTAGCCAGAGGAAATAGTAAGTACCAACCATTACTTGGTAAGTCAGCTTTGTCTTCTTTTGAGTACATGAAAGTTGTCATCAACCTTCACTTACCATTTTTAACCCTTTCAGTCCTGGAGGTTAAAATCATTGTCCTCAAAGGTTAAAATATTGTTATCATAGGGAAAAAGGGTTAAACCATTATCCTCAAGAAGTTAAAACATTATCCTCAAAGAGTTAAACATCATCCCCAAAGGGTCAAGTGGTGACCTTTGCTTCCCAGTACCCATTGTAACTAAAGAGGTAAGGTTGTAACTGGAAGAGAAACTTACATTTTAATTAGCTTTCAGTCCAAAATGTAGGGAAGTTGCAAACACTGGGAAGACACAATTCAAAATATCCAAGCTGCAAAATTCTTCTTCTTCTTCTTCTTCTTCTTCACTATGATTTTGAGACATTTTCTTTCTTAAGACATTCAGTACCTCGGTCAGTGATAACTAAAAATATCACAATTCATAACCTATCACAAAAACAAATATAACAAAACATATTCAAATGATAAAAGTGTTTACGTCCATGAACACATTTACAAGTACATACATTCTTGAGCATTAATAGGGTGCAACCTGCTGAGGTCTCTTTCATAATTAGTCTCGGTGAGGTCTACTAACTGACACCCTTGGGAGTACACAATCACCTTCTTTTGGAGGTTTTCCAATATTAAAGGAAGTAAGAAACTTTGCAATAAAGAGAAGGAGAATAAGGAAGAGTGTAGTTGCCATGGAGATAACATAATGGCTGAGTGAAGTTCCAATGTCCAGCCATGACCCTTCTGTCCTAATGAGGAAGAAGAAGTGAAGGGCCATGAAGTCTGACATCACCAGGAACATGTAGAATAGAGCACGTGTTGGTATCTGTAAGAAAAAGAGTCATTACTTCTCCATATTGTACTAAGGCAACACTACACATTAACAGATTTAGCAGCACCAAATATTGGCTTTACTGCATTTGTTTTTTATATATTCTCAACATCTCTTTTACTTGTCCACCACTGTGAATATTAAAGAAAGTCATACAGGACATGCTTGGCTCAACTATTCTCCTGAAATGTAAATACTGTAAGAACTAAGTCAATTGGAAGAGCTTCAGTAAACTTCAAAGTTTGTGTTTTGAGGCTGGAGTTTTTTCTTGTACTGTATATCCATTCTGAAGTTTTACAACATTCCAGTGTAGAAATAAAGATAAAATCATTATTGAACAGTTCATACAGAGGGTACTTGATTTGTAATTTTGTTTTTCTCTCAAATTGCAAACACAAGTAAGAAATGTACTCTTCAAAACATGAATATTATAGTTAACTGAGGTTCTTCCCTTTGGTTTACTTTGTTTTCAACTGCATTAATACTATCATTCTGTTCAATCTTGTCGAATTTCCTACTCAGCCGGAAAATAACTATGACATTGAGTACATCCCTTTTCCTGCCATTAACATTTGTGATACAGTACCTAGACAATGGGCCTGTTTAAAACGGATATAGCATACGGCTTGATAAGTCTTAAGAAAATAGAAACTGTTAATTAGATTATAGGCACAATGTTCTCCAGAGTGTACTGGCATCTAGTAAATTTTATTAAGGCTGAGTTCTGTACAAGCACATAAAACAATAAATTTAACTTACCTCAATGAGAGTGCAGATAGCGTGGAAGAAACAAGTGACGAGCAGAAATGGGATGATGATCTTGAAGAGTAACAAACTGCCCATGATGAACGGAGAAAACACAGTGATGAAGCAGTACACAAAGCTGGGATCAAAACTGTTCACACTAGCTATGTTCCCCGTGCCAAAGAATGCTAACACAATGAAGAATAACTGAGAGATACGAGTTAAGGCTATGTACATAACACATCAGAACTAGACAAAATAGGATATTAGTCATTTATATTAAAGACCCAAATGTGGTATTTGTGATGGCCTCCCGGTGTAAGTAACTCGGCACATCTTTTGAAATAATACCATATAAAGATGTTTGTATAATCATTGACCAGTCCCTCACTTCCACTTTACCTCACCATCATGTTAGACTATCTGTCTCCTCACTTTCTTCTCTGGCCAGACCCCAATTTATGAGTGGGTTACGTTAAAAAAAAATATTCCATAAATCATCTTTTGGGGGGGAGGGGGGGGGGTAAATAAATGCAAACATTTTTATAGACATTGCAAAAGCTGAAATATGCTCCTAAGAAAATATCCCCCAAACATCTTCAAATGCCACAAAATGCTACAAAACATATTTTAATTATTTTTTTTACGCAATGATTGTCAGTCGCTAATAACCATACTACACGTAATACAATACAGAATAGTAATCATTTTATAACTGTACTTAAAGAGACACCAATGAGATTTGAAACAAAGTGAACAGTATGAAATATTAAGCCAACATCTGTAATAATAAATTACAGTCCTCATCCCTCCCCCAAAATAGAATATGATTTCACACGCAGTCACTTCCTTCTTTATTACCCATGTTGAGCAAAGTTTGTACCATAATGCAAAAGAAAAATTCACCGAAAAAGGATACAAAGAAGTATGCACGTCGGACATCTGACCACTCCAAGACTCTCTCTCCACCCTCGCTGTTTTCCTTGCCCCACGTTGCAAACTTAAGCATTGCAATCTGTTGAAGGTAGACACAGTAAAACCACTTGTTAGGAGATTCTCATTATCATGGATTCCTTCCACTAACAGACAGTTTTACAATCAACTACAGTATTGTTGTACACTATAAAGAAACATCTGACTGAAATCCACGAAGAGATCTTTTCTATATTAAATTTTCTGTGGTTCAGCATGCATCTGAACATTTCCTGTCTAAAGGGAACCATTCAGGAATAAAGTCTTGCTCAGTAATTTTTTTTTCCAATATCAAAAAAATTATTCCATGCACCCACCACAAGCCTTAGTTTGAGGAGACACCCACATCTACTGGAGTATTTTGTTATCCTCTGAAGGAAGGCATCATGACATGAGTATATCAGCCCAATAGCATCCACCCTCATTATAAATTCCTCACAGCTCACCTAAGATCAAGTATTTTCTCAGGAAACTTTTAATTCAAGGAGATATACAGTATTATACATCAATACATCATGCACTACTGCGGCAATAGTCACAATTGGGATATAGGTGAAGTTAGCCCATGGTAACTTAGGCCCAGTGAACCTCTGCCTATTTTAGTGATTTCAGCCCAATCATAATATAGGTGAAGATCACCAACAATAATACATGGGTAGCCAGGAATTTTCTAACCTCATAAAATTTCATAATTGCAAAAATGTTAGAAATGGATATAATATACTAGTTTGATGCAGTAGGGAATATGTTACTGTGAAATACACTACAGTATATTAAGCTAGTACTGTACTAAAAACATGCTTAAAACAGTAATACAAAAGAAACAGTTGATTGGGAAGGTCACAAGGGTTAGACTATTGGTCAAGAGAGAGAAAAGATAACAATAAACTATACAGTACACATCACCTGACGACCATTTGTTTCTCCACGAGAGAGGTATTACTTCTTTACTACATTTGTTCACCGACATAATATAATCGTGGCTACAGAGATTGAACATATATGATGGTTATGTGCACAGTATTAATGGGGTTGTTGTTTTATTATTATTATTATTATTATTATTATTGTTATTATTATTATTATTATTATTATTATTATTATTATTATTATTATTATTATTATTATATATTACCATATTTTCATTGCCCCCCACCCCCCACCGAAACTTCCCATTAGCGGCAACTCAGCAATTTATTCACAATTGAAAGGTTTTACAAGTATTATTAAATTCTATTCACTTTTCCTGGCTGTCTATAATACTCTTAAGATGGACACTGATAATGCTTAAATATAAGGATGAAAAAAAATTAGAAACCAAGACCAAACTTCACATTAAACAATCAACAGTGGATGATCTCACCTGTACGTTATTACCAGCAAGGTAGAATTCTAACAGAAGCCACAAAAACATTGCAATAGTGATGGCAATGTAAAAGAACCCTTCGTGTCTGATGCAAAGTAGCAGAAAAGGACACAGGAGTGATGCCGTGACTGAGAGAAGTCGACCCATTACATTTCGTGATCCAAACAGCGGTAATATAAAGGAAAGCACTGAAAAGAAACAGTAAATAGCAATGATGAGTAACAGTCTGCATATCTACCTAAGTGATTACAGCACCAGTTCCACATGCAATAATCTTAACTGAGCACTAAAGACAAAAGTTCAATACAGTACCGTGAACAATACTTTGAAATGAGCACTAAAGACAAAAGTTCAATACAGTACCGTGAACACTAATGTAAAACAATCCAGAAATTGTTAACCTTCGCACATCTTATAATTAAACCCGAGTACTATATTTAATTAGCATTACCATAACATCTGTTCCTACCTAGTAAGCCCCATGCTGCTAGTTGGTTGATGTACGGTAAACCTTCCTTTTGCCTAATGCTAAAGGCTGTAGTGTGGACCAAGTACACAGAGGCTATGACCATCGCACCTTGGATGTACACTACAGGAGGGATGTGTCGAGGAAGACCGCCCTCCCCGCCACACCTGAAGGAGGCAGCTCATGTTATGTTTTACTTGAAGGAGCTTTATACACACAGAAAAGTTTTATCATCACTAGTATAACACGACAGTACAGTACTATCATTACTAGCCATTATAGAGGTAAAGTATATCAGAGTACCACATGAATTAGTCATTCCATGTCGTTATTCAAGATGCCAAACAATGGGCAAATGAATTAAACTATCATTCTTAATATGGATGATTGACAAATGAAACCCTATTTCATGGTCTACAGGACCTGATAAGTAACCTGGGCAGATCCCACCACTTTACACCAGTAGGCAGAGCTCACCAAATAACCCAGAGGAAAACAAGTCTTCTCACTCCATAAATCCAACTTTTTGCTGGATCTACTGTGGTCTGTAGTCGAGCTTAAAGCAATAACACACCTCGGATAAATCTCATTGATTACGATACTGCCACTGCACAAAGCTCATTGTTCGACGTGCCATTGTTCGTCGTTACATTAATTTGTCCTTTGAAATAAGTAAATTGACAATTAAATAATATTTAAAATATGTGCACAGTTTGTCCAGCTGTACAATAACTGTATGATAGTTCAATACAGTAGTGTATATGGTACAGTATTTCTGCCAAACGTATGATGGTTCGTTGTGGCAGTATCCCAGTTGACTGGTCAGTAAATTTTATTGACAATTAGCAATCTACTCAAATTAATTACTGTACTGTACAAGTTGGATTTATGGAGTAAGGAGACAGTTATGGTATGCTTCTGGTTAACAGTATAAATATTATCCACAGGGTCAGTGTATCCTGCGATGTTGCACAGACTCTGCCTACTGGCACCTACTGGTTGGAACTCACCAGGTCATTCAATCATACCATTGGCCATGAAAAAGTACTTTCTAACTCAATCCTCCATTTAGTGCAGTGGGTAAAAGACATATATCTTGCAACATTAACTCGCCAAAATACCCCTTGAGAGAGCCTGTTATATCCAAGGTGCCCTCTCCATTCTGAGGCATGGACACTAATTCTGTCAGATCATTCTTAATTGCTGAATAAAAAGCCACTCACCGAGTAAACTGGGATTTGTGAAGTAAGTTCCAAACACAATCCAACTTGATGCTGAAAAGCAAGCGTGATTCAGCAGATAAAACAGGATGAACCCTGGAACTAGATCACCTGACACAAACACCTCAGCCATAAGCCTGAGTCTCAAACTCCACATCTCACTTTTCATTTCAAGAGCAAAAGTTGCCCTTTTGGAACAACTCTTCAACAAGACAAATGTCTAAAAATCACACTCTATGCCATGTACATTTTGATTCACTAGCTTCTCGCTGCATAACCGAACTGGATTTGGAACTGGTTTTGTAGTCCCCCGTGCCACTTGAGAGAGTACCTGATTATGTAACAACTCACACCAATTCAACATGACAGTCTCTCTGCCTACAGGCATAGAGAGCTCCCTGGACAAAGCAGCTCCATCAAGGGTGTTCTGGTAGTAGTGCTGATCATCAAATGTCAAAAGGCCCATTGGACATCAAAATTAATACTGTACTGTACATAACTACATTAATTTTACCTGTTAGAAAAATAGTTATTACCTCAGGAATACTAAGGATTTTTTATGAAATACATATAATGAATGTTTTGTGATTAAATTCATAGGATATTCAGATTATATACCAATTAGCACACTATCATCAATCATGAACACCTTTAAATTTCTTCAACCTACCATTCACAAAACAATTAAGAATACTGTACAGTAATGCCTAATCATTCAGAAAAAGTAATAAATCTGTTAATCATTATACTTATATATTATATACCCGGTATATATATATATATATATATATATATATATATATATATATATATATATATATATATATATATATATATATATATATATATATATATATATATATATATATATATATATATATATATATTCAGACTATACACACACACAAAGGTATGGGACTATTTATCCAGCATGCTTGGGACCTGGGGATTAACAGTACCAGATAGGGTGCTTTGAGGAATTAGGGGTGCCAGGCCTAGAATGTACCAAATGTAGAGCAAACCCTCTGTAACTGGTTGTGAAGCCTCTGTTCAGATCACTAGTCACTTCTAAAAGTAGCTTTAACTGTATACTATAACATTAAAACTTAAAATTGTAGGTTTATAAACAGTGATAATGAATGCATATACTGTATAAATAGCATAAATTAAAGCACGAAAAGAGCAAATTTGATACATTAGGTACAAGATATTGTTCAAACTGTCACAGTCTCCACTGACACTCGCCTTAGCAAAGCAGCAGCATCCCTAGTAAGGATGCTTTACACTGCCGACCCTCAGACCCTCAGACCTTCACACGCTAACCACATGGTTTAACAGTGGAAACCCCTATAATACATTTAAAACTTTAACACTTATAATAAGTATTTAGTTTATATCTTTTGGCACTTTCTGTATATAATATTGGGTAATCATGTACAAAGGTAAAAAAAAAAATAAGAAAATAATATGAATGTACAGTCTCGTTCAAAATTCTTCGAACTCTGCTGGAGACAGCTGGCAACTCAAGGCCATTTGTTTACTTTAGTAAGTATGGGTAGTAAAATTATGAATGAATGTAAAATTTGATCGGTGATTGGTTACTTAGTTCCCCATTGCTTAATTAATGGTTGGGCTTTGTTGTTTCGTATTATATTATACTACGTATTATAGTAAACAAATGGCCTTGAGTTGCCAGCTGTCTCCAGCAATGTTTGAAGAATCTTGAACAAGACTGTACCTGAAATTATGAGTTGAAAAATAACCATGACAAAACATACAGCTCACAAGTGGGGAATGGTTGGAAAATTCTTGCTCGGCCAGAGAATTACTGGCGCTCATTTTAAAAACAATACAGTGGTCCCTCGGTTAACGAACACAACCCATTCCAGCAGGTTGTTCGTTAACCGAAAAATTCGTTAACCGAAACCATTGTTTCAATGGGTTTTGGGTAATTGGTTCCAGCTCACCGAAAATTGCCTAAATTCAACAAAAATGGTAGAAAAGTTCACTTACTTTGAGGTGTGTATGTAGAAGGCTCCTGGATGATGATGATGGGCATTAGAATGGGGGTGGAGGAGAAGGAAGAAGAGAAGGCATTGGGGTGGAAGAGAAGTCACCCCATGGCACCATTTCACCCATAAAATTTTAGTTCTCTTGGTGTATTTCAAGATTATTTTTTTAAATCAACACTGCACTGCATTATATATTGTCAATATGTAAAATATATTTCAAAATGACCAATAATTTGCTTGGAAACACAGAAAAAAAGCGTTTAGTTGAAGAGAGTCTCAAGCAAGATGTTACCTCCAGTGAAAACAGAGAGAGACTAACGCCTGTTTGCTGTGTTAAGAGGCTGGATGCCGCACATTAAACTAGTCACTTTACCTTCAATTATGTTCAATAATTGTTAAAATGACTAAAAAATTGAATATTAAACTTTTAAAATTATTAAATAGTATAAACTTCATGATATTTACTAAAATAGTAAGGAATTTAAGCCCTAGAACCGATTAATGTATTGGCGGACTGATACTAAAGCTGGTTGCCCGGCCAGTGCAAGTGAAAACATGTTGAGGTCGGTTCGTAAGAAATTTGTTAACCGAATTTTTGTTCGTTAACCGAATTTAAGAATCTTATGGGAGGTAGTTCGTTAACCGAAATTTCGTTAACCGAGGCGTTCGTTAACCGAGGGACCACTGTACAGTACTGTAATTCGTTCCAGAACATAACCAGGTTCTGGAGAGTTCCGGATACCAAGACGCCAGATAAACGATCCCATACCTGTATATATTTTTAAATGTAATGTGCTGTAATATATTGTAATAATTTTAGCTGCAGGAATGTGCTCAAATATGAAATGCAAAATAAAGTCAAAGAGAAATATACCACATGGTGAATTACTGTACATCTTGGGAGACAAAATTAAATATAATTTTAACATGTATGACTTGGCTGGACTCTCACAATTATCGATCAGGGAAATGCATGTACAACATTCCTCAAGAGCCATTGGAATAAACTAAGAGTGATACCTCAAATTTCAAAAGTCGATATTGTAGGCTGACAACTTGGTGTTCATAGCAGATAGTATTATAGAAATGGAAGGATGCAAAGGAATCAATTGGTACGAGAGTGAACATGGCAAAAACAAAAGCAATGATTAGTGACAAAGATGAAGGACCTGTCACAAAAATTTAAAAATGGCCATATGCTGTCTGTTAGAATGGTGTTGGCAGTAGCTCAATAATGTTCAGCGAGTGAGGAAGATGGGTACAGAAGAGGTGGAATGGTGCAAATGGCAGGCAGAAAGATGTTCCTGGTTTTAATTGTGCTGCATATGCAGGTAATGAGGTGGCCTTAACAAGGCTGGAAAAGTTTAACATTGGGGACATATCCCTGGAATGTGTTGATGAGTTTTACCACTTGGCAGAATTTTGGGGAGCTGATGCCTTTATCGACAGCAAGATGACCTTCTCCATGTGAAAGAAAAGATATATACAACTGGCAAGAGAATTGTAATGTTACAGTACAGCTTAGGAACCACGACCGTGAATGACTTAAAAGAATCAGCAAGAGAAAATATCAAAATTTTATGCTGACAGCAAGTCACAAGAATCCATGACTCAAAAAGAAAAAATCTCAGAGAACCTAGGAATGTGTGCCAGCCTGGATAACGTGCTATATGAAAGGCTCAGGAAATGAAGGATTGAATGAATTGCGATTTCTGGACCAATACTTTGTTAATAAAACTAAGGAGTTTCATGAGCAACTGAAAATTCCACAAGACTGCAATTCCACTGTGGGGTGGCTTCAAGAGTTTGAGAAGTGGCAAGAACTTTCAGTGCCTTAAAAGGCAGTTGAGTACAAATATCAGCAGACAAAGAGGTGCAAAATGTTCACATGCCAGCCACCATTGCTGCCAGTGCCACCAGCCAGCCAGTTATCTCAGCTGAATGCTCCACTTTCTTGTTTTTAAAATCACCATAATGATCATTTCTCTTTTATATCTTAATAAAACTTCAAATAATTCCTAGTGCTTATACCATGCAGGGGTAAAAAAAATAAATGCAGTAAAATACAATACTTTCCTTATTGCAGTATAAGTGTGTTTGTGGGTTATTTATAAATACTGTACCATTCTAATATTAGCCAAGATATTCAACATGCAGCAATCAATACAGCATCAATAGCAAAGAGCTTATACTCTGTGTGTATGTGAGTGAAGTGTGTGTGCATGTGAGGTGTGTATGTGTGTGTTAATTTTGAAGTACAGATAGTCCCCCAAGTTATGAATGCCCGACTTAAAAACGCCAGCACTTACAAATGGGATCTCAATATATTCATCACAAAAATCTGTAACTAAAATCCCATTTTTTATTACTGTACTTTCATTATTCTATATTGTTTAACATCACTCTATTTACAGTTTTACATTTTTTGTTATGAATGGGTTATTATTGCTGTTTTGTATAGGCAGACTTGTGTTTTAACCTAACCTAAACTATGGAATTAACACTGATCCAACTTACAAACAGGGTCCAGGAACGTAACACATTCATAACTCGGGGACTGTCCTAAGACATCTCTTCCTTAGGCCTATATGGATAACTAAATTTAGCAGATGTCTATAATATCTACTTAATGCTCAGTTTGGAAACCCATTCCAATGGATAACTGAACATTTTTAATGAACTGAAAAGATATAGAAAAAGAGCTAATTGTTTCCATTTGATATCAGTCAACAGCTACAAGCAATTTCATAATGTGACTGAATACAAAATTAACAGTAAGAAGACAAAAGCTGAGACCATCATCTTCAGTGTGTCCATAATACAATGAACTGTTTAAGCAAAACCAAACTGGATATAAAGTATTTTAAAGATAAATCTTGACAAGCAAGGTGCCAGGTATACCAATGTCAAAGATCAAGGAATAGGCACATTTTGCTGTCTCCCCACTACACAGCTCTCCAAGTTAGGTAAGCCATGAGAGGGAAAATATTAAGACAATGAAGTCAAAATTAGATAAGATAAAACTCAAATTGATCGTATAAAAACATTAAGCTGTACAGCGTGCAGTACTCATTGTCCTGACATGTTTTTGGTCATTCCAAATACAAGTGTTGCCAACAACTTTAGTTCAAGGTGTAAGTGCCTTCCATATGCTCTAATCAGTGCAATAAGAGAGTGTTCTTTTAAATGCCACACTGCATGGCACCTATTTGGATACTTGCAGTAATGTAAGACTACCTTTTCTTTTTTGTCCTATGTTTTATTTTTGAGTGTCCCATGTCAACACTTTGTGATGTTGGAAAAAAACATATACATTATAAAGTACTCAGTCTTCTATAAGTTGTTTTATATGACTATACAAGAACTAAAATTAAACACGTGTGATAGTATTTCTTTGTATGGTATTAAGTAATCCTATTCCATTATTACACTTTTCAACAAACAAATATACTTTATTATCAAAAAGGACTTTCTTTCATTGTAAGAACAAATACTATACTATACAGAACTATCTTTCTAACAATCACAAAAGCAGTTTGGAAAAAAACAGTAGACAATACTCACCAGTATATACCAATTCCTCCAAGGGAAAATGCAACTAAACCAGCTATTTCCCTGAAATATAATTTCAATACATTAGAGTTTACACAAAGTGAGTGTGTATACAGTTCATATGAAGTTTTTCACTGCTACATCTCTCTGTACAGTTATTAACAACCACAGCTTACTCCTACAGTTCCTAACTAATACATAACCTTCTCCTGTACCTCTTAACAGTTATCGCCAACTACATTGGTTCCTCTATTTGCAAGGGTGCTGCACTCCTAGAAAAATATGGACAAAGCAAAAACCAGACAAAACAAGACCAGTTTTACATTACCCCCACCCTCCCTCCCTCTAAACCACACCAGATATTTTCACTCCTGTTTCACAAATGTCTCCAGTTTTCAGGTCATCTTCAAGCCAGCCACGAAAATACAGTGGAGTCTGCATTTACACGGTCAATTGAACCTGTGGAGGCCCGCGTAAAACGAGAAACGCGTAAATCAATTAACATAACATATGGGATTAATTGAAATAGAGACTGGGCCGACCCCCAAACTCCACTTTTTCTGACACAATACGTACCTTGCAGTCAAATAACATCTTAATTTTATGATGGTATGCACACACAATAATTAAAAGAAATATCAATAATATTAGGTTTTTTAACACTTACGTGAGTAGAAAAGATGGCTGGGCACACGGGGATGGGAGGTTGGTTCCGAGGCAGAGGGCAGATTATTGGCCCTCACCTGTATCACTTGTATCAATTGTATCACTATCCACCACAGAGGCTTGCAGGGCCTCTTTGTCAAACCCCTCAAAGTCCATATCCTCACTATCACTGACTTGGGGAGGCTGTGGGGGGTGGAGGGTGAAGAACTCGGTAATGTTTTGATGACTGGGCGACCTTGTGCGCACCCTGCCCGCGCCGCTTCCCGCGTAAATGACCAAATTTACCAAGTAATTAAAGCATTTCATTCTAGCAAGGCACCACGTAAATGACCAAGCGCGTAAACAAAAGCCACGTAAATGCAGACTCTACTGTACTGTGCTGTCCCCCAACGAAATTGCAGAAATGCACACATTCTCAATCAACAAATATGCTATCCACTCAGTCTTTATTTTATTAGCAAATGTACAGTATCGTTCAAGATTATTCGAACACTGCTGGAGACAGCTGGCAACTCAAGGCTATTTGTTTACTATAGTACGTAGTATAATATAATACAAAATAACAAAGCCCAACCATTAATTAAGCAACGGGGAACTAAGTAACCAATCACAGATCACTTTTACATTCATTTATAGTTTTTACTATGTACTATAGTAAACAAACGGCCTCGAGTTGCCAGCTGTCTCCAGCAGTGTTTGAAGAATCTTGAACGAGACAGTACATATTATGTATAAAACATACACACACAATATAAAATCACATACAATACAGTACCAACAAATTTCAACACACTCCCTAATGCACAGAGCAATGAATTAGTATTAAACTTACACCCAGGGATAATATGGCTCCTTGCCAACAACAGGCATATAGGTAAAGGAGGCAAGTAATATGCATGCTCCAATCCATACAAGCCTCATGGATCTCTCCACTGCCCCCTGCATAGAGTACATAATGACTGGCCACAGCCCGATACACAACAGTCCCACGGAGAGCATTGGTCGGATGAAGAAGGCCATCACCTGTAATAGCAATGGAGTCAATAAGATAAGTTTTATTATAATATTACTTACTTATTTACAGGAAGAACAGTACCCTTAACAACTACCTGTATGTATGTACAGTACTACAGTATTGCCACAACCTAAATTACTGTAAGGACAAAATTTTAAAACCTAAAACTGTTTATTACACAGAATAAATATGTATCTAGAACCTCTACAGATGGTAAAATATCATTATATAATTACAGTAACGCTTCAATAGTTTGGATTTCAATATTTCAGAATCCAGACAAACATGGATTGTTATTAGACCTGTTTAAGTTCATCGTATGCTGTAATGTTGGAGATTTTGTAATTACTGCATAGTGAAAATACAATAATGTACGGTACTCCAATATCCCGAAAAATTGCTTTGTTCAGAACTTCTAAATTATCAAGGTTGTACTGAAACAATAATTCATGAGAAGTACAGTCTGACCTCTATATAACGGACTACAGTATAAGGGAGAGTGTATCCGTTATATCAAGGTCCATTAGACGTGAAACCTCCATATAACTGACTACAGGTATACCCATTAAATTGATATCCGTTAAAAGGAGGTTTCAATTAAAACAGACACAAACTAACAAAATTTTTTACTTTCCTAAAAAAACAAACACATTATCATGCTTTTATTTATATACCTGTACATCATATAAGATTTTTCCACCTACCAAAATCTCAATCCCAAGGAAAATGAAAAGAATGCGTATGGCCACTTCCCAAACCATGTTGAAAGACGATACGAGGAGCCAGGCAACTCTCAAGGGGGCGCAGCTCTGATGAACGAGGGCCCATAAGCCGACTGGTGTCATTAAGTACAAGTAATGCTGCCACGGATGCTGCTGCCCTGTACGGTATAGTTATGCTCTAATTACAAACGGAGAACTGAAAGAGTATATACTGTACAGAGTTTGTTGCACAGAGTAATGCAAATATCTAACGTGATGAGTGAGCAAGATTTCCAAGATGCAATACATTCTCTTGAAATAACTTTGAAGTGAGTGAAATAGTTACCAGGTGAGGGGGAAGGAACCAGAGTGTGAAGCTGTAGAATATATTTACTGGAGAAACCTTTGTTATGAAATGAAAGGTGGGAGGAGGAGATCCATGAGTGAAATAGAGAAATGAAACAGGCAGTGCAGAGGAAGATTGAGAGACACAAAAATTTCATAAAAAAATGTACCAATAGAAGAATCAGATAAGGAGGAAACTGGAACAGAGAAAGGAAAATAAAAATGGGTGAAAGATGGTGTAAGGTTCCAGGCGAGGAGAGGAAGTCGAACCATTATCTTATAGGAAACAAAATTATTACATAAAAACTAATACAAAACTACTGGTAAGGAAAGGGGAATGGACTAACAATAGCAAAACAAAAGATATAGAGGAGGAAAGAGCAGTACAGTATATAACACAAATAAGAGAAACACTGTAGCTAGAAGGAATATTTAGAAGATTTAATGATACTTAATAATGAAAAATTAGAGATAGAAGCACTTCTTCATACCGAAAGACGGAAATAGGATCAGGCAAATTAAAATTAATATAACAAACCGAAATGAAAGAAGGAAATGAAAACAGTAGTTCGTGGGTTAAAATCTGGAAAAGCTTGTTGGAAGATACACTGGAAAAATGGGAAACTATAGGCACCATTTACAGATCTTGAAAAGGCATCTGATTGGTTGAATTAGGAGGTATTGTGGGAGTAAGAGGAAGGCTGCGGTGAAAGCATTCTAACTGAGTAGTAAAGGCCTGTGTGAGGTTGCTGAGGTGGCGGTGGAGTAAGGTCCAACAGCTGTTTAACATATCTATGGATGGAATGGTAAGGGATAAGGTGCAAAACTGGAGCTGGAAGCTAGGATACAATGCTTGGGAAAGATGCAGGAGGAAAGGATAATAAATAACAGGTATAAATGGAGTAGAGGGAAGGGAGACTTCCTATATTGATGTAGAGAATGTAATGAATGCAGTAACGTATTTATTTAATTTAAAATCTTGATGAAAATAAGGGATTAATATTAAACCAGAAGTCAATTTTCTTTTTAGTAGTTTACATCAAAGGTATTTTGAAAACTCAGTACAAAATCACAAAATCTTAGATATTACATCAGGCTTCCAATTGTTTAGAATGTCAGTTACCATTGGTGTCCTCACTCCTGTATATAATTAATCTTCATCAGTTTCCACTTTAATTCATTCCTTATTTATATACCCCAAAGGAGACATATATCTATTCCCCACAATATGAGTCCATAAGAAGATTTGATGTTACTCACCTATAAGCTTGGTGAGGTTAGTTATACCCCAAACTATCAGCACTAGAGCCATCAACACAGATGAGCGCCACACCCTCCGGCCCTCTATGGTGCCCCCGGCCATCCTCAGGACAGCACTGTGATCCTTTTATTTCAGTAAAGATGAAGGATAAAAGCATCTGTATGAGTTATCTTAATATAGAATGAAAGAGAAGAAAAATACAGCATAAATACATGCATGACGATATATACAGTATATTAAATAAGAGAGATCTACATATAGAAAATAAACAGAGAAGATTCATTATTTCTTTCCTGGTTTAAAAATGACTAAAAAGTAAGGGCTCCCAAGATTATGAAAAACTTATTAAAATAAATAAAATTCCAATAAGCATTAATATATTTACCACTAAAACTAGGCTTGATTGGATATTGAAAAGAAAGAAATCTGTCAGAGAAAAACATAAGAAAAACTACATACAGTACTATGCATACAAACATACACAGCTCATTTGACATACAAAAGTATAATAAAACGTACAGTACTCCCTCAACACAATGACTGATCACACATCACTGTATTTCATGAATTAACCTAAACAATTTTATGACGATTGTAAAAAAAAAAAAAAGTTATCCAGCCAATCTAACATTTAATTCCTCTTTACCAGAATTAATATGCACCTATTTTTCTATTTCCCTTATGTCAACAGTCTCCACAGTACAGAAGCATAATAATGTAATGTACTGTACACAAAGTGGGGCACGTCATCCTCCCAGAAAGACTTACACTGAGAACATTAGAAAAGCTCTGTAACTGTATAGATTTCAGAACACACAAACACACACCAAAAAAATAAATACAAAATCTATTGCTTTCAAAATGTATTCCTCACACCATTTTAAAAACATTAATTTAAAACAACAGCACACACCCTCAACAGATGGCAGGTAATGAGAAATATCCAGCCTAGAAATCCCAGAGCAATGTGGACAGACAATGTCAAACGGTCATAGTGATGGTAGTAGTCCATGCCATGTTGTGTCAAGGAGATCAGACGAAGACTTTCACTGTTCTGTAAAGAGACTACAGAGGTATAAATAAAATTTAAAAAATCCCTGCAAACCACTTTTATAAACAATAATAAATTTTACAAAAAAGTCAGTTGTGAACATAATTAAAACAATAAAAAAGACAAAGATATCTGGGCTGCATGGGGAAACCAGTCTTTGGTCAATAATGCAATTAAAACAACACAGTGTTGGCAGCGAGCAGTATATGATTGACAGGGGCTCAACTGGGAGCCGAGGGACGCCTGAACCCTAAGTCTGTTTTATGGTGTACATACATTGGATAGCAGAACATACAGTACATGCAATGGTACAACAGCATAGACTCATAGGCCTCAGCTTTAGCAACAGGCTCTTCTTCACTACACCCGATCTATTGGCGCTGCAGATGAGCCGAGAGAGAACCTATCACTAGTTTTGTAGTTTTATTAAACTTCTAGAATATAACCCAACCATACAAGTGGATGGTTCCTGGTAAACATCTACAAGCTAAACAAGGCTGTAAGTGATACTCAGTAAACTGCATCAGTTATATGAATACAGTTATTATAATAAATCTGGATTCATGTCTCATTACATTATCTTTGGATACTGTAAAGAACAGGGTACAGTATTGGCTGATTATATCTATACATGGGACAGATGTGAGATAAGTAACATTCATCATCATCAATGTTTTATGGTCATTTACCATGTTTGCGTGGGTTAGCCATGATTACCCGATGGAAGCCATTGGGTAAAACCAGAATAAGATGTCTCCCCCTCCTGCTCACCACCACAATCTCAGGGCACCAGCCCAGAAAATGCAGCAGACCATGGGATGGGTACAACTCTGGTGACCCAGTTGTAATTAAGCATGTTAAAGCAAAGTTTTATGTCTGATCCGCTTCCTAACACCAACCTACAGGGTGGAAACAGTTAGCAAGGCAACCAGCCTATCCTGGCAGGTCAAAAGCACAGGTTCTCAAGTGTGGGGGGGACCCAATCCAATTTTTTTAATCAATATTATTTTTTGTATTGGCTTTCCCCCAATGAGTCTGCAAATCTGTAACTTCCACAGTGATTACAAAATTTCATATATCAATTCACTAAATGGAGTCATCTGGCTACACATGAAATATCTCCCAATAAATTATAAACACAGACAAACTGGAATATATATTACAAGAGATAAAACATCTTACGTGATCACTAAGTTCATGTTACCTACCGCTTCCTCGTAGTCGGCATTTTTCAAGTGGTTACGAATAGCTCCCAGGGATTCAAGTTCTCTATCTGGTGTGAGGCTCAAGTATGGCCAGTAGAAGATGGGTAACGTTTCTTCTTCCTTTTGGGCTCTTTTTTGTTGGTACTGAGCAAGCATCTGGCGAGTGTTGGCAAACAGAGCCTCTGCTTTGTATTCATCCGATGTTCCTAGATACTCAACATGTAGTACACCCTGTAAAATACACTAGTATATAAATCAAACTGAAACCATTTACCACTATTGGGTGATATGGATCAAGGGGATATATATAGGAGAGTGATGTATGATAAATTTATAAGGCAATAGGGAAAGAACAGAAAGATCAAGTAGAAATATTACACACACACACACACACACACGTATAGAAAGTGAGTTTGCCGTGAATCCAAAATTAAGATGTTGGTCCATTCATGCTAACATTATCATGAAAGAAGCAACTCGACTGTACTGTATATAACCCACAGCCATTCTGCAAGCATTACTGTACTTAATGTGACATCTCTCAACCTCACTAACTCACCTATGTGGCCTATCCCTCTTTTTCTTGGGTGTCATCTCTCTACTGCCTTCAACTGTTAAAAAATCTCTCTGACCAATCTCTCATCTAAACAGCCACATCACCTGACTGCACCACTCTTACTCACTCAATTCTCCTGTACTTTTTGACTCTACATTTCCTTGTATCTAATTAGTTTCCCCTTCAATATACCAAACACCCATGAAAGAAACACAAAGAGAAACGAGTGTTAAATCTGAATGGAGACAAAGAGGGGTGCTTCAGGCATCCGGGAGTGAGTGGATAAGTCAGCTGAAGAAAAGGAATAATTAGTGTAACTGTATTGAGCAATGTATGGAAAAGAAAGATTTGTATCAAAGGAGACAGAAATGGGGATGTATAAAGGAACATTCGAGCCAAAAAATACTATATAGATATGTAACGATTCTAGTTGTGAGAATAAGCATACTGGAATTTTTTTTTCAATCATGACAGGCCCTACGTGTGTCAGTCATAATCTAGAGGATGGTAATGAATATTGTGGACCTATTAATAAGTTAAATTCTCTAATAGGTATGATGAGTGGCCAAAGTGCTTGGGTAACATCAAAAACATACTATGCCACTTGGAATCTATACAGTAAGACCCCCAAGTACTGGACCCCCAGAGTAGCGACATACTGTATATGAATAACAACACGAATCTTGGAAAAAATTATTTAAAAATTCGAAAAAGTATCTTGCAGGTCATTGTTATTGTTGTGGAGAGATGCAGCATACACCATGTGGCCCCTCCAGTCCAGCCTTCATCACAACAACAGCTGTGCTGCACTCAGTCTATGTGTGGCTATTACTCAGTGCAGACGTGCCTGTTCTCTAATGACATATAAATAACACACATTGTGAGAACAATGCCCAAGCAAGTACATTTGGGTAAGGCCCCAAAGAGCAGAAAGCACTACCATGAAGGATACACTTGAAGTGCTAGCCATGGTTGATAATAAACGCTCTGTTCCCGAGACAATGCAGAAATTTGTAATTCTGAATTTACCAAAAACATATCATAAGTGTGATCCCATACACACCTGCATAATCTTCACCACACAACACACGTCTCCAGGCAGCTGTGGCCCTGAATGGCTTTGCATATTGCCACTGACTCAGAGAATGAAACTGTAAAAGTTGTGGGGAAATCATCTGAATACCCTAATTGTCAGAGGTATATTGTACACATCTACATAATCCACTTTATCTCTCACTGTACAAGACCATCCATGCCACATGATCATGGAGAACCTAGTTACCAAATACTAAAATGGAAAGTATCTGTCTTGAACTAATTTAACATGAGCATAAACTCGCTGTGGTGTTCCATGCTGATATGGACGTCCAAAATAATGGATTCTGTCTGATTAACAACTTCGCTGTGGTTTAATTAGCCAAGTACTTGGAGTTTTACCGTAATTAATTTCCCCAGTACAGTGCATACCATTATAAATCTTGACAAAATTACTCACAACACTGTTAACTGGGATAGGGATACCAATGATGGATGCCATAAGAGGAGAAATGTCAGCCTGGTGAAGATCGTGTCGACGTACGCCAGTGAGTCCCCACTTCTCCACACGAGCATCATAGATCATCTTCTCCTTGAACTCAGAGGGATCTTTTGGTAAGGCTACACCAGAGCCCCAGGCTACAATGGGTGTTTCAGTTTCACTTGGGTCTCCCGCTCCATGAGAACCTGTAAATTAGATCTTGAATAGTTACCGATTACATTTCCCTGACCTGGTGATCATATGGGAAGAAACCTAATAAAAGTCTAACTCATTGATAAAATGTTTGTCTTGGACATATTATATTTTTTTTCTCTCTTTCCTCTTCTGTTATTTTAATGGACAAAACCAAGATTCAATACAGATGCTCTCTTAATTTCCTATAATCCAATCATCCCCCACAGATCTGTCAATGTGATGCCTTCTCTGTATTTGTTAGTGTTGCTAGCACCATCAATTTAACATTTATATCTATCTCTCTCTCTGTCTCCTTTCTCAACTTACTATTAGCACCTTTCTTTAGTTCACATTTGCTATTAACATTCTCCTAGAACATATACAAAGATTCATTATTTTTCTTCTGAACTGCCCACCATGGAAGCACCATCTGTAGACAGTACAAGAACACCCAAGTTAACGAACAGGTTAGGGACTGAAGGACCGGTTTATAAGGCAGATGTTTGGAACCCGAAAGCTGAATTCCCATACAAACTATGTACTCATGGGGTTACTTCACCTCAGAGTACATAGCAAATAAGTCCATGAGTGCACTAGCCTGGCTGGAACCCAAACAAAGACAAAGTTTGATTCGCCCAACTCCATGAATGATAATGTGAGCTGGATCACTAAAAAAAAATTCTTGTTAAATTTAATACTGTACATGTTCAGTCATTGAAATTTTGAACCCTAAAATACTTTGATCATTAAAATTAATTTTAATTTGCTGGGAACTCCGTCAGCATATTTTATAAATTCTATTCAATTCATAGAGCAAAGCACAAACAATTACTTTAAAATTTAATAGGAGACAACTTTTAATGTAAAATGATACAAGCCTTACAAGACCGTATACACAAGTACCTATCCTAAATCTTACAAGTATTTTCTGCTTAACCCTTCGTGTACAGGGTCAACTCTGAGTTAAGTATAATTGTCAGGCATTAGCCAAATAAAATATGAAAAGTGGCATCCCCATAGTGAAGGGATAACACAAGAGAGGTCCTGAAGACTTTGACAGTGTATACATACCCCAGTCAGTCATGCCATGGTCTGAAGTAAAGATATAAGCTGTTTTTTGGTCCTTGTAGAAATCTTCAAACATTTCCACTAGTCTTTTAACTCCTTTGTCAACAATTAGAATATTTTCCAGGTATTCCCTGCAATTATTTAAAAACATTAAAATATAAGTACAGTATTGTATTATTGTCCTAAATTCATAATTTTACAAAACAAAAAGGTGAAATACTTGTATATTGACTAAAATCAGTATTTTTTTCTACAGTATGAGCCTTTGTAAAACCTCTGTGCAAGTAGACAAAATGACTATATTAATGAACACAATCTGAATTTCAACACCCGACACGCCAATATGAAGTGGTGAAATTATCACAAATAGTGTCAATCTACCAGACCACACCAAATAATTATTTGTCTAGTGTCCAGTAATGAAGCTGAGGGTATGATCCTTAAAACTCATTTAATAAAAATGCCAGTGAAGAGTGATCCAAGGATGACTACCAAAGCTTTCCTTTTCACGGTAAAATCCTACAGAAAGATGTGGAGTACAGTACTGTACTTGGGTTCATAATTTTACCAAGACTGACTAACAAGTGTTTTCCTAACATGTCTTCCAAACAATAACATTCACATACTCTGAATGAGGCTTGTGAGAGTGTCCATTTGTGTCAAGTCCCAAAAGATGAAGGAAGAACACAATACGATCTTCGTGCAGCCGTTCATTGAGTTTCTTGTCCTCCCCTGCTTCTTTAAAAAAAGCCTCTACTTTCTCAAATACCCAAGTGTCCAACTTGGAAGCATCACTTCTGGCAAAATCTTCTTCCTCAGCCTTGTACATGAATGTTTCAATGTGTCCTCTTTCCGAGCCTGCAAAAAAACAAAAATAATAATAAATAAATAAATAAAAATAAAGAAAGAATATGATATAATGAATAAAATCAAAGTTCCAGAATAAAGAGATGGTGATGAATAAATACTCTGTTTGCAGTAAAGTACATTATTTCATGAAATATATTAAATACATCAACCAAAAATGTCTTAAAAATTATTTTAGGAAACTGCTTTCAAAACAAAAACAGATGTTGCCTTTCCTATCTTAATTGGAAGATACGGTCCAAGTTTGATGTGAACTAAACAAAATTATATTTTTGAAATAAAAAAACTCGAGCCATCAGTGGAACTCTTATTAAAAATATTAAGTGCATGATTTAAAAAGTAGTCAAAAAGATAAGTTGTGAGATACATCAGCTTATCATGGGTATCTCATGCAGTCACATGACAGTAGTGACCAATCATAGCACATGGGCACTGTGAGCCTACTTACCCACACACCCAGCATGAGTCAGAAACAGTATGCAGTTCTCAGAAACTCATTCACATGCCCTGAATGGACAGATTTTTCACAGAATTCTCAAAAAAATTTCCAGCTATTGGAGAGTTCCAGGATCGAAGATTCCGGCTAAGGAACTGATTACGGTCCTGTACTGTACTACAACCACCTGTTATCTTCTACAACACCAAATTATCAGTGAATCATCAATAACTTGTATGTTGACTCCCTGGCTCCGTTTTGTATTGAAAGTTATTGTTAAACAACTTACTCCACAATGTATCTAAAACTGTAACTAATTTTTGTCCAATTTATATGTTCAGCCTCTGGCTGCTGTACTTTTCAATACTTAGTTACAGTATTATTATCACATGCAGAGAGAGAGAGAGAGAGAGTGGCAAACAAATACACAGATTCTTCCCTCTGGTACAGTACTAAATAACTCACCTGAAGCAAACATTGGAAGAATATCTGGGCTGCCCCAACACCAAGTATGGCGACTTTCATTGAAAACAGAATCAAACTCAACAGGGTTCTCCTTCCAGCCTTTAGCAATGGCACTTGGATCTTCATAGAAGCCTGCGATGATGGCAACATGGCCAGGTCGAGACTCTGTGGGCACTCGTGTGTGCGAGACTCCCCAGGTTCCCTTTGTTTCTATTACAGATCTGATACAGGAAAATCATGATTAATATTTATTTTACTACACGTTTTGTCTGAAGTGAAAGTCAAATAAAACAATTAATTTAAAAATAATTATCTAAAAGACACCTACTGTATTACTAAAGCACAATATTAAAAAAAAAGGAAGATTGGTGAATTCTCATTCTATTCTTCCTCTGAGATACAGTATACCAGTCAAATATACAGTATATGCACAAAGACTGACACTGACTGTACTGTGTGCGCTTGATGCATGCTCTTGAGGTCACAGGTACAGTTATGAATAAAAGAAATTCAGCAGGGGAGTGTAAACTGCATCTGCTTCATAATTAAACTAAAAAATCAATATGTGGTGTGGAAAGAAAACTGCAAACTTTTAATTGCCACCTTTTAGTAACACTGCCAAGTCTCCACCTACCACTACATCACCTCCCTCCCTGTGGAGTAATTTTTGTCCACAACTGTATATGTCTGTACCTTGTTCTTATCATAGTTTAATATACTGTATATATTTGTATTCGTGGCCTTTTAGGTTTAAGTATATCAAAAGATTCCATAAAATTTTTTATAAGTAATAAAGTGATGCTTCTTTTTACACCTCTAGTTACCAAAAAGTATGCAAATATTACTTTCTGAGACATACTATATAAGTACTGTACCTGAGAAATGGTGCCCTTGTAGTTTGGTTTGTGTAGTCATAAAAAGCGTCCGCTCTGAGTCCATCGGCAACTACGAGGACGAGTCTCTGAGCCGCTGGCTGCTGCTGGTGCAGGTGTGGGGTCATGCCCTGGCTCAATGGTGTCCGGAAATAAATATCAAACACCGACCCAAAGAATATCAAGTGAACTATGAAGCCAACACCAAACAGCCACATCCCGCAACAGTCTCACCCAAGAGAACAAGTCCTCTCCTTATCTTCCGGGAACTTGGTTATGCATCTATGTTAACTAGATGACTGTGTGAGAGATAAAGAGTTAAATAATGTAACCTCACTCTATCTACACTATTATACTGTACTGTTATCTGATCACAGAATATGCAACATATTATATTTTAGGGTTCATGATGAAGAAATTAAAATCACCAATATTATGAAAACTACAAACCCTCAACCTGTTTTGACATTTCTGTTAGGTATACAATAAAAGAGTATATTACAAGTAGTTTTGACAATTTTAAGACACTTTTCTTCGATGACATTTCCCTCACAAATGCCTTATATATGCTGGTAGGTCCAGGAGGGTGGATCCCCCAGGTTAGGTTAGGTTAGGTAATTTGTGATGGAAACGTCATAAAAGAAAAGTATCTTAAAATTGTCAAAACTAAGTATAATAAAGATAAAAATTCCTACAACTCGAGTGTTAAGTTAAAAATTTACCAAAAAGTGACCTGATTTTGGGTGACCTGTACCACTGTTTGAGACTATATATATTAACCCATTACTATTCCCACATACTCCCACAAATACAACAGTTAACAAGTATATAAACACTGGTTATATCAAGAAGGAATAACCTTGTTCCATGACATATATCTAAATATACCTCAGATAATACCATACAGTACAATATAACCCATTGAATATTAAATACGATGACATAACACCTTCAGTACTCAAAGGGTTAATATTACTGCTCAATGACACAATAAGATAGAGATAATAGGAGCCCATTACACACCCTCCCTCACTAGACGTTAACTACCGCACTGCAGAGTTAAAACACTAAGGTTACTTTAACTAACTGTAGTGGGAATAACATATACTAATTACCCTAGCCTAATTGGGTGGTTTAGCAGTATTTTTGCTTTGTATTAAACATTGATATAAATTTTATTTAATATTAATTACATTGTCGTGGTTAATATATTTTACAGATGTTTATTTGGTGAAAATATATGTTAAGACATTTGTTTCTAAGAAGTTATGTTTTTCTTATAGCATCACACTTAATTATCATTTACCAAAATTAGCAACACAGTTGAAGTAGGAGTTTATTAATGGATATAATATACCTCTAGAGTTTTCCCTTGTAATACCTGAATCAAGTTTTATATAAACTTCCAAATCAAATTATTTCCAAACAGATCAGATAAATAGATAAAAAAAATATAGAATCGAACCTCAATAACAACTAGTTTTCATAGATCATTAACCTTTAATATTATAGGAAAATAATAAGTTCTTGGTGCATCCAGGGCCAACCTAAGGTGTATTATGTTAGAAAATTACCGCGAACATTGCACCTCAAACCATTTATTTATTTATTGATAATGCAAATATATCAAGGTTAACAATTTGAATTAATATTATATATAACTCCGTATTTTTTTATTTAGTTGATTTATGGTTGTTTTTATTAAATAATTTGATTAATAAAAAAAAATTGTTTAGTGATCATGATTGAGTGTATATTCCAACATAGTTCGTTAGGAGTGACAACATGGCCAAGCTACACCTCACCAACGACGTGGTAAGACACTCTATTATATTAACTTCTTTCTCTACTCATGATGTTACCAAGTTATTTGTGATAATATTAATCTTTTTACCGATTTTTGTTTATATACAGAATATGGATAATTTTATTGGGAGGTGTGTGACGTTGACAGCTGTGTGGCGTTGGCTGCTGGTTTAGTTGTCAGAAAATATATTTAATAAACTGTATATTTCTTTTAGGTGAAAATAGTTTTACAGATTCACACACTCAGTGGTTCAACGTGTACATAAGCGGTGTAAATTGTGAATAGAAACAAAATTATACACTGGAAGTTGTTTCACCTCTGGAGTCGCCTTACAGGACCTCTTGACCTTAGAGCAGCTGGTGGTGGTTAGGGTTAGTTACTAACTAATCTTGATCACAGAATAGATTTATCTTATGTCTTCTGTGGTGATTTAAAAGAGTATGACCGTTAATTTCGTCGCTGACATTTATTTAAGGAGATATAACCCACAACCACTTTGAAGATAAGGGAATGTGGGATTAGAATACACCAAAATAAAACACCAATCAGACCTTTGAGAACCTGACCTATGCTCAAGTAAATCACATTAATAAAAAACCAATAAAACCAAACCTAACCTAACATAATTTTTCTAATGAAACTCTGCAAGTGACGTAAAATAATTTATCAATGTCAGCACAGCTCTTTCCACCTGTTCAGCCATATCTGGTTATTCTGGTACTGAAAAATCAAATCTCTACTCCTGACACCCACACATTGTTCATTGGCTAAGACAAAAAACTCTTGCCCAATTATAAGTCTCCTATCACTATAGCCAGTGTTGTACGCGTCAACGAAAACAAGTGGCGCCATGAGCATAAACGGCCGAGAAATTTTATGCCGTCAGCGTCGGCGTAAACGATTTCATAAATTGACGCATTAACGTCAGCGTCAACGAGTTTTCAGTGACGTACAAATGCAGCCCTGAAATGCGTATTCTCCTGTGTATGGGAGTAACATGCAAAATCAAAAAATATTAATTCATTTTTAATCATTTATTATGATTTATGTTATATCATTTTAATTATTCATTTGTTCCCCCGCAAGAATACTAGCATCTCAAAATGCTTGTTGCTCATTCTACTGCGCTTGGGCCTCAAGAAGGTCCTTGCTCTGTAGAAAGCTACGCAGGTGCGCGGGCGGTGGGCGCGGCAAAAATTTTCCCGGTCGTCTTTATAACAAGATACTTGAAAACCGAACTTGGGAAAATCGAAAATTTAAGAAGTTGACGAACAAAATGACCCTTGACGCTCCTCTCGGGTGAAAAGTTGACTGCGTCACCTGCCAAAGAAATTGGTGGCGTCAGCGTTAACAAAAAGTTGCCACCTTCCATTGACGGCGTTAAATTAACGGCGTCAAGGTACAACACTGACTAGAGCCAATAAGAAACTCCCACACCACCCCCGCACATGTGCTGTAGACGCTTAAGAAGCCAACACGAAGGTAAAGAGCACTGCGAGATGGGTGGTCAGACCTTCTCTGTGAGACGTAAACAACAAATGGCGACACTTGTGACTGACCAAATCTAATAATATTGAAAAATTAATATCCCGGTTATCCTTAATTTCCGGCGGGAATATCACAGAAGAAAAGGGTCTTAGAGTTGTCTATACATTATGAAAAACATATTAATAACAGCGAGAGAAAGACCAGTGCATTATTGAAATTTCACCAAATCTTTATTTATTATTTAACCAGTGGAGTAGCATTAAGTGAGGTAATGTCTAAGAACGGGATGTGCCCATTTCGTCACCACATTCCTGCCCATCAATATATGCACAAAAATAAATGTTGCTTGGGATAGAAAATAATAAAAAACACTTAAGACAATTTATTAAAGACGAATATAAAAACTAAAAACATGTTAACACGCCAGCAATCATCTCACTGCTCGGTGGTTTATGCAATGGTGCCAAATCACCTTCATTTGTTCTGTATTGTATTTGGTTTATTAACCAATGTCAAATCTTTTTTTTTTTATTTATCAATTAATATTCATGTATAGTAGTAACACAATAATTCTTCATTTGTTTTTATATAAGCTTTTGGTAGAGCTCCCTTTTACTTGGCTTATATATAAATAAGTTAATGGTGTTTTTGGCCAATTGGCTGTTAATGTTCATTCAGATCATTATACAGTGATCCCTCGGTTAACAAACGCCTTGGTTAACGAAATTTCGGTTAACGAACTGCCTTCCATAAGAATCTTCAATTCGGTTAATGAATTTCTTACGAACCGAACTCAACATGTTTTCGCTTGCACTGGCCGGGCAACCAGCTTTAGTATCAGTCCGCCAATACATTAATCGGTTCTAGGGCTTAAATTCCTTACTATTTTAGTAAATATCAAGAAGTTTATATTATTCAATAATTTTAAAAGTTTAATATTCAATTTTTTAGTCATTTTAACAATTATTGAACATAATTGAAGGTAAAGTGACTAGTTTAATGCGCAGCATCCAGCCTCTTAACACAGCAAACAGGCGTTAGTCTCTCTCTGTTTTCACTGGAGGTAACATCTTGCTTGAGACTCTCTTCAACTAAACGCTTTTTTCTGTGTTTCCAAGCAAATTATTGGTCATTTTGAAATATATTTTACATATTGACAATATATAATGCAGTGCAGTGTTGATTTAAAGAAAATAATCTTGAAATACACCGAGAGAACTAAAATTTTATGGGTGAAATGGTGCCATGGGGTGACTTCTCTTCCACCCCAATGCCTTCTCTTCTTCCTTCTCCTCCACCCCCATTCTAATTCCCATCATCATCATCATCATCCAGGAGCCTTCTACATACACACCTCAAAGTGAGTGAACTTTTCTACCATTTTTGTTGAATTTAGGAAATTTTCGGTGAGCTGGAACCAATTACCCAAAAACCCATTGAATCAATGGTTTCGGTTAACGAACAACCTGCTGGAACGGATTGAGTTCGTTAACCAAGGGACCACTGTACTTACTGTACTAGTAGAATGCTTAATGTAATTTATATACTGTACTGTACATCGTCATTGTTTTCGTTTTTTTTTTGCAGTTTATGTCAGAGCTGACTCTGATGTTTCACAATGCCCGAACACACGGAGAAGTTACGACCACAATAAAAAGATGTGAGTTTAATGGCTACAGTTTAACTCCAAAGAGTTACCTGTTAACTACACTGTATACCATCATGTGCCACTTCAGATTACAAATAGTATTTTCTCTTGAAGCCACAACTGAGTTTTATTAGATAAAGTTAATATTTGTACACTGAAGTTTGAAAGTTTTACCTACGGGTATTTGTATAAGTTGTAGAAACTAGGCAAAAAAATTTTATTACAGTACAGTACTGTATATTTATCTGTATCTGTAATATGTGAATCATAGAGCATCATCCAAAACATTAAGAGCATAACATGGTTAGGAGCATATGCATCAAATCTCACACTTACTATAAGAAGTCCACATAATGTCAGCATGTTAAGTGAAAAGGTAATGAAAACAGGTTTCATCATATTAAAAGGTGTTCAGCCGTAAATATAAGATTCAACCTGAAATCACACTGTATGGCTGAGCCCAGAACTAGACACCCTGCCTTTCACTGAAGAGTGTGAAGGTCAACAAGAACTGGAGTGTTTAATGCTTCACAAACCCTCTCTGGCTGAAGGGCAATTTGTTCACAACTCACTCTGCTTCCTTCCATAAGTGGTGAGCTGTTATTTTATTAATCTCTTTATGGGACTTGGATGTGACTGGGAAGTAAAAGTCAATTCTTGAATTAATCATAGTGTATGATGCCCAAAGGTTAAACATGGATTTTGATGTTCAGGACTAATACTGTACAGTACAGTAGCTACATTCACGAGTAACGTAGTTTTGGTCTCGGCTCTAGATTGGGATTTCAGGGTCAATTCTTAGATTTACATTTCAAGTGAAAACATAGTTAAACACTTTGATTCTCCTACAGATGATGGACGCACTCGCCCGCACCCTAAACCCAGAAAACTTAAGAATGGCAAGATGTCTAAAGTGAATCCCTTGCCAGAACCTGACGAGTATAGTTGCTTATTACGGGCCAAGAGCAAAGACAAGAAAATAAGCACAGTGGTAATATGAAGTTATTTTTTATGATCATGGGGTTCTGTAGAAGATTTATAATTTACAGTACCAACCACTTCTCTAACCATATCCAGGCCTTCAGTTAATATGACTTGCTATGAAAGACAGAAAGTCATTGAGCCTTGAGCAACAAGGTCTGGAGAAGGCCTGGTGAGGCCTGTTTTCTTTGACAGAAAACAGTTGAAGTTAAGTTTGTAAATAGTAGAGAGGTCATTGCCCCAAATAGTTTAAACTTTTGCTATTAAACTGGTGGGAAAATTAGCCATGTCAGTAACACTTTAACTAAGGCATGACAACAGGCAGCATTGTCATGTGATTATCACGCTGTGAATCGCAAACCATCCACCAGCCTCACTCATAAAATGGGATATCAGAATTTATTCCTCTAATTTTAAACATTTTGCTCATATCTTCTCAGTAATTATAATGGATACATCTAAATTACTCTGTGTGTGTCTGTGTGTGTGTGCGTGCATGTGTGTGCGTGTGTTTTTTGTGCATGTATGTGTTTTTTATATTTCTCGGTAGAACTGCTGTAATATTTGTTAAATATCATAATTTGAAATTAGATTAGAAATAGTAGCATTGGAATGAAGTTTCGTTTATCTTGCCCAGTTTAACATTGTAAATTATTTTGCAAAACTTTTATATGCAGTTTAGTCTTCTCATAAACCTTTGTTTACTGGTGTATATTACCGGTATTTAGGTTTAATATGTATGAATTTCATGTAATATTGTGCTATAACCCTGTGTTAAGTCCTAACTGCTGAAATTGTATTTTGTATATTCTGTATGTGTTTTATGTTAATTATGTTGTGGTATTATGAGTAAGTTTACCTATAATAAGTTTGTAATTCATGTCATACTTTGATAAATGGTAGAGGCAGCTTCCTGCTTACATGATTGTCAAAGGCTTCAATATCCTGTGAGCACTTTCTTGGGAATTTCATTTTTTGCTTCTTAATATATTATTGCCCCTTTCTATTTACGATATAGTACCAGCTTTAAAGAAGAAGACATTTCTGATTATCATCTCAAATTTCACTCCTCAGGTTTCAGCTGCAGATGCTCTCAAATTTCAACTTCAGTTCTCCCAGTTTCTCCGATCTAACATGGATGGCCTTAAGAAAGAAAAGAAAGCTAAGAAAAAGGTCAAGAAAGCTACTCAATAAATAGAAAGAAAGGAAGCTTTGGTTAACCTATATGGAAATGCATTAAGGTAATAAAAGAGTTGAGGCCATATAAGCAGACTATGCCAAGAAGAGCTTGGGTTGGTCTAGGGGCATTCCTTTCCTCTTTGGTCTTGGTGAGAAATATTTCACAAGGGGACTGCAATATTATGATGGCTGTGACGTATGAAATAAGATGCTTCATTTTGTTAAGAGATTGTGATGTACTGTACAGGCTTCATTCAGTTTGCAGTCTTCACTGTATTTTGTGTTGACTGTGTGGGCTTAAATGGTAGGAAAGGAAGGAATTTATTATAGTACAGTATACAGAACCTACTAATGGATAATGGCTGCTAATGGCATACAGAGTTGGTGAGTGGCACAGGCCTTTTTTGGTAGATAAGAACCCCATGTAATGCAATAATTGTTTGCATTATAGATTCGTAATTTTATTTATTTATTTTTTGCAAGTTACTGCTTGGCCTCACTTACAAATTGCAGTAAAATAACTACCCTTTTAACATTTCATTCTCAATGTCTGCTCACAGCTAGTATGTTGAGCCCTATTAAGTACTGTACTGATAATAATAGGATTGTAGGCTTCACAGGCAAATGAGCACTAAACATCGGTGTTGGGGGAGGGGGATCCATTTTACCTCACTATCTTAGGTCCATTGCATCGCGTCAATGAGGAAAGATTTAAAAAGAGACTAAAACAGGATTAGAAGGTAAAACTATTAAACTTTAATTATTTAAAAAAAAATACAAATTCCAATGGTGTATACAGTGGTCCTTCGGTTAACAAGCACAATTCGTTCTAGAAGGTTGCTCGTTAACCGAAACCATTGTTTCAATGGGTTTATGGGTAATTGGTTCCAGTTCACCAAAAATTGCCTAAAGTCAACAAAAAAGGTAGCAAAGTACACTTATGTTGAGGTGTGTATGTAGAAGGCTCCTGGATGATGATGATGTTGGGAATTAGAATGGGGGTGGAGGAGAAGGGAGAAGAGAAGGCATTTGGGTTGAAGAGAAGTCACCCCATGGTGCCATTTCACCCATAAAATTTTAGTTCACTTGGTGCAATTAAAGATTATTTTCTTTAAATCAACACTGCACTGCATTATATATTGTCAATATGTAAAATAAATTTCAAAATGACAATAATTTGACTGGAAACAGAGAAAAAAAAAGCATTTATATTGAAGAGAGTCTGAAGCAAGATGTTACCTCCACTGAAAAGACAGAGACTGACGCCTGTATGGTGTGTTGACAGGCTGTTTGGGGCACTAAAAAACTAGTTTCCCTGTACTTAAATTATGTTAAATAATTGTTAAAATGACAAAAAAAATTAATATATGACTTTTAAAATTATTGAATAGTACAAACTTCTTGATATTTACTAAAATAGTAAGGAATTTAAGCCCTAGAACCGAATACTGTATTGGCGGACTAATATGACAGCTAGTGTGCAAGCGAAAACATGTGGAGGGGCGCTCGTAAGGAATTCATTATTCGAGGGAATGCTCGTTAACCAAAGTTAAGAATCTTATGGAATTTAATTCGTTAACCGAAATTTTGTTAACCGAGGCGCTCGTTAACCGAAGGATCACTGTATATAAACGTGTTACTTGGAGCATAATTTTACAAATTTATGCCAAAATCTCAGCAGTCTGCTTGCATGACATAATCCTCATTGCAGATCATTTTACTGGCACATTGCAGATTGCCTCCATCACACTCCATATGTCAACTACATTGTGTGATCACGAAAAAAGTAAATGGTTAACTTTCTCATTATCATAATAGGATTGGATAAATAATTAATAATAGAACCAAGTACTGTACAAGTTTTCAAGGACCCCCAACATATCATAGAAAACTCCGAGTTCGGTTAGGGTGTTCAGGACATGTTGCATTCAGCTAGGCTAGCTGAATGTCGTGTTTTCTGGTGGTTAACAGTCTGTAGTCTTTCTCCAGCATTTTTGAGATCTTGATTTCCTTTACATTTTTTATGTATACTCATATAATCTACGTTTCTTTGTAAATAAATGGCCAGTTAAGTAACACTCGGCAAACCAGCACTTTTTGAGAATCCATTATGGCTTTGGTCCAGTGTACTGCATTGCTGTAGTGGAAATTGGATCATCTATTTTGAGTTTTCTTTTATTCTTGTGTACCAACGAAGGCTACAACTTTATTCAAGTGTTGGTGCCACTTAATACTGTAAAATGATGAGCTGCTCTAAAAGTGACCTGGTTTGTGTATGAAGCACACCTGGGCTGCAGATCGTCTCTTTGTATGCCACAATATGCTACCTGATGCCTTAAACACACAGCATGATGTGATGGGGGGGAAGGTACTGTTCCTTTGTAATGACTGTAAAAGTTTATCCCAGCTCTGGCAGCTCTACTTTAGAAGATTCTAGAAGTATATATTACAGTTCATAAAGTGATTAACCAAAAGTTTATTTTCACATCTTTTATTTGTATTAGTTCTTGTTAATATTCAATAAAAATTTATTTGAAACTTTCGGTTATATGGATAATAAAATATTGTTATGTGATTACATACTGTAGTATCATTTTGACATATTATATCCTAACTTAAACTTGTGTACTTCTGCAGTAAGATGTATTTGAATTTGTATGAACTTTGTGGCCTCATCCCAGCCAGTTCATACTTTTGGCCAGACAATACTGTGTATTTTTTATTTGTTTATTTATTTATTACAAGAGCTCTCTGTATATGTTACTATGCAATACAATGTTGAAGGGCAATTGGGAGGTGAAATGGAGGTCGACAGAGAGAGTGGAGTCTTTCAAGGCAAGTTCTGTTTTGTTTGAGTGGTTTAAATCACATGCCAACCTTCACAGCCTCTATCTCATGGGTGAAGCAACAAGTGCAGATTGTGACGCTGTCGCTGCCTTCCTCCATATCCTGAAGGCGAAGATTCAGAAAGGAGGATACAGCCCCAAGCAAGTTATCAACTTTGATGAAATGGGATTATTTTTTAAGAGGATGTACTGTACTCCTGTACCTTCATTGTTAAGGAGGAAAGGACCGCTTATGGATTTAAGGCTGTCAAGGACCACCTCACACAATTGCTTGGAGGTAATACTGAAGGAGATCTCAAACTGAATCTGCTCCTTGTCTACCTGTCAGAAATGCTATGAAAACTCAAGGTTTATATTAAGAAGCTTCTACCAGTCATCTGGAAATCAAATGAAAGGTGTGTTGATGACGACATTGTGCCAGAGCTAGGTGGCTGGCTACCTCTCCAGTAAGTGTAAGGAGTACTGGGAGGCCAATAATCTCACTGTCCATCACAATCCTACTCATCCAACCCATGAACCAAGGAGTGATTTCATGTTAAGGCTTGACACCTGCACCAAACAATGGATCAACTGATAAAAGAGACTTGATGGACATGACAATCTAACAATCAAGGAGTTCTGGTACAATTGGAACATCAATAAGGCAATGGACAATATCTCTGAGTCATGGAAGGAGGTTCAGCAATCAAATATATGGCCGGAGTGTGTGCACAGGTCTTGTGGGTTTGACCCAATTGATAAGATTTGTTGAGATATTATGCAGCTCTACCACCAGGCTGGCTTTGACAAAGTTGACCAGGAGGATGTTAAGGAATTCCTTGATAGCCATGCAGCCATGATAGCTAAGCAATGAGGGGATAACACTACTGTGCCCCAAAAAAGCCCCAAATGCAGCGAGAAGGCACCACATCGAGCATCGGCTTCAATACTATCAAGAAATTTATAAATCAAAGAAGCAAAAGACAACAAAATATGATTACCAGCTGCTTCAGGGTCCAAACTCCCAAAATGGTATAGCCTGAATCCCCCAAACCAGTTTCATCCACCTCAGGGGTCACAGTTTTTAGAGCCAAAATCATGCCATCCTCCCGTGAGTTCAGACCTGCCACTCCAACCACCGCAAGTCTGTCAAGTTCCATCACCACTTAGTGGCCTGTGGGTGGCCCTTACTACATAATTTAGGTATGATAACTTTCACCTTTTTGCTACTTTTCTTTGCCCTTAATTTTAACATTTCCATTCAAAATTTTGATGTGTGAGGGAGGTGCTTTCATGTTGTACAGCAATTTTACAAGTTGACCCTTATGAATATTTATATAGATGATATACCCTAGCTTTCACTTTTATGCCATTTTTATTGAACATTTATTTTACCATTTTCATGCTAAGTGTACGACAAATGGACTACATTGTGGAGTTTAGGTGCTTCAGTCGTGTGGTGTTGAGGTACTTTATAATTGTGATTTTTGGTCCTATTTAGGTGAAAATCTCCACTTTGACTGACTCCTGGAATGTAACCTCGTTGACTCACTTGTTAGAACATGTTTGGTTTGTGATCATTCACTTGGTGATCAGGGTTTCAGGAATGCAACCAGATCATATATCAAGGGATGCCTGAACTGTCTTCTTAATGGAGATATTATTTTTCTTCCCAGATAATAATTACCCGGTATGTGTCACCTCTCTTGCACACCTGAGATCTGCATGTCCCCTAACCTCATCCAACAATACTTAACCTAACCCTACCAAACGTAACCGAATCAACCTTAACCCTACCTAACCTAAGCCAACCTAACATGTTCTATATTGTACTTCCTTGTATAAAACTGCCGCAACAACTCCAAACCTGAATTATGATATGGCAAAGGGTTTAGCGAAAAACAATCAACCATCGACAACAAATAGTTTCAAGTAATGTTATTTTATTTCTTCACGACTTCTATTTTTCATAAGGTAAAGGAAACACATTATACTTTTTAATTTCTGATTCAATTCAATATATCACAGCATTTATTGGTTGACATCTTAGATATAGAAACGACAGGTTTTTAAATATACTGTATTACCAAGATTAAACTACAGTAATGAAATGGGCACTTGTGATATTTTGTATTCTAAATAAAAATTCAGTTACCATCTTTACTGATATGAAAATATTTAAGGAAAGTAGTTCAATTTCTCTTCTAATTAAATGTAAGTCAAAAGACAAAAACTACAGTAAGGTTTCTTCAAAAATAAGGATCTGAGAATGATTGTTGTATTGTATAATGCTATTTCAGATTACCATAGATATAGTTCATCTTCATTCATTCATTCATTCATCAGTAACTATTATGATACATTAAGTAGCCAAAGCAAATATATTTTCACTTTTTTCTCTCTGTCATTACATAACTCATGAGCCAAAATTAATATTCATGAGACTTGTTTATGTATATTTGTTTTTAGCCAAGTCAAATTGCACCCTCCCTCTTTTTGTGAGATTAGCAGAGCAGAAAATAATGTAACCACAGTAATTGGTAAGGTTCTCTGTTCTCCATTATGCAGTATCAGAAAAGGAGACTGAGTGTATGGCAACTAATTTACAGGTTGTAAATGTTCAGCTGAAAGTTGGGTCTATTTTACGTACCTTATTGATTTTCTCTTTAATTGTGATGCCTCACTCCTCTTGGTAAACTGGTCCCCTGTTGTCATACACACAGACAACAAGTACCACTGAGGAAACAACATTGTATGATTGGCCAACCAGTGAGAGACATATCATAGTCCAAACAAACATGTTACATGAACAAAATCATTGAGAAATTAATGACAAGCAATTTAATTGAAATAAAATAATTCTTCTGACACCAATGTTACCTTTTAAGATACGTTACATGTGCATAATTTCCCATTTTGTTTTATGTTTTTGTCCAGAAATGACATAAAAAACTTTGTACTTCATACACTCCCAATTTTAATTACCTATATATTGTTTTAATCTTCAGTTATGTTGTCAACCCCATTGTATTATGGGAACAGAGAACATGGAGTGTTTGCATTAACTGTTTAAGAATAAAAAAACTCTATATTGTGTTATAAATTATTTAAAATCTGAGATAAAGGATTGTTTTATCTATAAAGATCACTAATGATCATATCAACCATCTGTTGTACTGACACACTTGAACTGATTTTATTTTCATTTGCTCATAAAAACAGTAATCTGCCTCTGGATTAATGAAAACTTCTACTTAAAAATTTATTTCATCATAAATGACAAAATTTATGTATTCTTAATTGGTCAAAATATATTTATTTTTATTCTAAGGTGTAAATTACTGTATAGCTAAATGGCCATGTATGCTAATGGTGACCATTCAAAATAACAGCTAATGACTGACAATACTGTAGTCTATCACTTAGCATCAAAAATTAATGTATCAAAGTAAGTGTAATTTTCATTAATATACGTGTATTTTGTAATCCTAAGCTATATTAAATGTGTTATTTCAGTCAGCTGACACATTGATTATAGGTTATAAACATACACAAGTTGAATATACCACAAACATCACAAACTTGCCATATATCTATCACTATATCCATGATGAGCTCAGTAAAATGATAGATCTTCACTCCTAACATAAACTTAATAAGCAAAACCTCTCATTTCACACATGAGAACATCATACAGTATTTTACTTATATCTATACAGTACACTTATGAGAACATAGAAATTTTGATGCAACTGTCCATTATTTAAATTAGTTTTAAAGAAATTAATGCAGAGATTCTGTACATTAATTTTTCTGTCAACTGGTACCAAGTAAACCTAAACTACTGTACAGTCTCTACTGGAATCTGATGCAACATTGTTTTTTGTGTGTAATTCAATCTATTAGTTGTATCTTTATACCCATCGTGTTTGTAATTGAACCCAGAAGTTTTACCTGGGAACTTTTTTGTTATCCTCATTGCCTTCCTGCCTTTCCAGACTGACTGACTGGTATAATAGTTTTCTGAGTGATATTTTCCCTACTTTATCCTCACTAGTAGCTATGGCTCTTTGCCACGTGTCTAAAACACTTCCAGACATATTTAACCTCCCTCAGGAAATAGTGAAACCTCGATATAATAGACTTTTCATCTGTACATATAGTTCATTAGATGGAGGTTTCACATCTAACAGACCCTCGATATAACAGATTTTCCTCTCCAAATACTGTTCAGTAGTCCATTAAATAGAGGTTTCACTGTAAAAATGAGAAACTCCAATGACGTTGCTTGCCTCCTGTCCTGACATGGTATTTTCCCAGCTCACATATTAGCTCTATGCAACCAAAGGCCAATTCAATGGTCAGTCTTGTTACCCCTATACTTGGCTTTTATCTTGAGGTCTTTACTGTCTTAATTACACTCCTTGGAGTAGATAAACTAGTGGACAGTTGCATCACTTTACATTAGAAACAAATTTAGTCATCATAGTTCTGCATTCTGAACTATGTAACCGCAAAGTTTTAGCAATGCCACTATCAAAACAGGCTTTGTAGTTTGTTCCACAAATATTTCTGATGAAGCAGTAAAGGCACACACAAGATCACACAGTACAGTAATATTAATCATGTTTCTCTTTCATAGTACAGTACTAGTCTCTCAATATGAAGAATGGTTGGGAACTGGAAAATCCAATTACTGTACTGTAGTATATAGCAGTGTTTTTCAAACTTTTTTATACTGCGACCCACAGCCAGAACAACAATTTGAATTGCGACCCATTAAACCTAAGTGTAATGATATGAAATGAGTAAATCAAAGACAAACACTGCTCTCCTTGCAGTTGCTTCCTAGACTGTGGAGTGTACATTACAATAACCAAGCCTAAATTATGGTGCATTTATTTTTATTTTCTTATTTATTTTCGCGACCCATTTTTATTTTGCGACCCAATTTATTTATTTCGCGATCCACTGAAGGGTCGGGACCCATAGTTTGAAAACCCCTGGTATATAGGATGTAAGAATGGTCTGAGTTCTCATTGACAGTTAAGGCAACAAACTTTGCACTCAAATACTAAACTTTATGTTGTGAATGGTAAAACATGCAAGATACCACTTTAACACAAACAACAGCAATGATAATATTAGTCTATTACTCACAATTTTGTTTTTCTTAATAGCCATGACCCTGTACTGTATTAGGATTCTCACATATTACCATCTTTGAAGAGATTAGCAGAATAGTAACACTTGCATGCTTTACAAGTACAGTATTGTTTCAAACAGACCACTCGAGTGAAGTTTATGCCTTAACTTTACCATTAAACTTTCAATTTATTAATGTACTTATTCATTTCAAAATAACATGACACAAGAAACATTTGACACAGCACTCAACAAAACTGGATCAGTGTTATTTCTTGATGCTGAAATTTAGAAAGATCTGTCTATTTAGGGTGATGCTTCAACTTCATGAGTTGTAATTTCTTGGGTGAGAGCACACATTTGACTCCAGCAAGTTCCCTAATGTTACAGATTCTTTTTCCCTCACCAACTTTGTTTCTGCGGTATGTACACTGAAGGAGGTCAGGCTCATCACCTCTGCATTTGAAATTATCTAGTATGATTTTGGAGGAGGACAAGTCACTGAGGGTCTCACTGTGAGGTGCTGCATGCTCCACCCTGTTGGAAATGAATAATATCTTTAATCACAAAGTTTGGAAACCATTTTAGAAACATCCCTATAAAAACCCTAAACTACTGAATCTGAGAATTTATGATTGATAATAATACATGGCAAACATACCATACATAGCCACACAATCCCATCAAAACTCTTCTTCCAGTAATTACATGCCAGTGATCCCTTTACAGTTAAATTTATTTGGTATTAACTCACTGATCACTAACTGCATGTTCATGTAAATGTCTTTTAACCTCACCCAGTCATTCTCCCATGCTTCTCATTCGTGTTGATAATTTAATTTCAATTTGTCACAGATCACTGAGGGTGTAGCATGCAACTGGGCTTACTTAGAAGATCAGGTCATTGTGGGAACGGAAAAGTCAGAGATCAATTCAGCTGTGACATCACAATATGGCAGCAGGTTAAGCACACACACCTCCCTCCTTCCTTTCCATCATATCGCTGGATGACAAACCTCACTCATTGAACATGTACAGGGAGGTGGCGTCACACAGCACTTGGCAAATTCCTGTCTGTTTATTTTCCTCTCAAAATATTAACTGGACTTAAAAAAAAATTGCTTGTCTGGCCCCTCATCCAGGTTGCTGCTATATATAATATATATTCTGAGTGTGTGTGTGTGTACTGTATGGCCTTTTACACTTATATAGTTTTGAAGAAATATGGTAAGGAGGTGTGGGTAATCTTGGGGTTGTTCATGCACTGTCTCTTGTACCTCACAGACTTCAAACCTCTCTGTCCCGTATATACAGTACATAGCTGAGTGAACAATGTATGCCTACTGTAAGCTAGTGTATAGAGGGTGTGTGTACAATATACAGCTTGTATACAATCCCTCCTTCATGGAGGGAGAGCAGAGTGACAATTAGCAACATCTTACACAGAAGATGGTATGTGTACAGGTCAAATGAAGGCTGTTCCATATCATATCTCCAGTAGCATTTATTTACTACATTTTTTTTACTTTATCTCTGTTATGCACTGTTGGCAAGTACTGGGTATGCACTGGCTCTAGAATGTATCTGAACCTGTACTAGTGTTGGTGAAGTCTGACTTTGAATGAGCTCACACTCAGAACTATCACAACTCTGAAGCAGATTACTGTAGTCCAAGATTTCACAACTCTCATACCCCAAAATGTTTGCCCCAGCAATTTTCTGAACTTGTGGCATCTTCAGCTTGAGGCTGTAACCTTAAGTGGGCAGACATCTGCCAGTTCCAGGTGTGAACACTTGGCTGAGTTATATCCTCTGAGGTGTTTATAGACTTAAAATGCAATTATGCTTTTGTCAAGTGGGGATAGCATTTTGTTTCTATTACTGTGGCTCCCTTAGTCCTGATGGTCCATGAGTTACAGCACATACAGTACATATTACAACACACAAAGATGCCCTTGGTTATATCCTACAAGATAAGAATAGATTCAGAAAATATGGAGCAGATGAATCAGGATATTTGCAAGCGTTTGACAGGCAGGAAAATAGGGTAAGTTGATATGATGTGGGGAGGCCTCAGTTCATATTTACCAAACACATAATTACATAAAAAAACAAAAAAGAGAGGAAGAGCAATTGAGAGATATAGAATATTTAACTAGGTATATCCTGGCAGCTCACCTTGCTGTGGGGTGATGGTCAAACAGTACACGACAGGCCACTTGGGCTTCCTTCTCTTTCCAAGTGTCCTTACAGATATAGCTCTCCTCGTCACGCTGCAGGTCCCAGACCACCAACTTCCCTGTCACTACCAGACGTTCTTCTACATGTTTCTTTTGCAAGTTTGTTAGATAAGCTCTTGAGAGTTCTGAAAAGTTTCATGAGAAATATTTTATGAGTAGGTTGGTGGAGATATTTATTAAGAATACTGTACAGTGTACAGTATTGGGATCCTATTCGTAAGTATGGGTGTTCATAAGTCAGGCACCCACTTACTGTAGTAATCATGGTAAAGTGTACTTCAGTAATGACCAACATGTAGTTAAGTAGGGATTATATTCACTTTAATAATGACAATGTTTAATTAAGAAATAAGAATATGTAATATACTAATAGCAATACTGTATGTACTTATGTAATAATATGTCCAAAAACACTGGACATAACATACTTAAGTACTGTAAATTTAAATAGTAAGTACTGAAATAATGAGACATATGTAGAGGAAGTTACTCAAGTGAAAAGTATTGCAAACTTACTCAATTTTTTCATTGGTTGTGGGTTGCCGTGTAAGCCTCTGGTGATTCTGGAACGGGTTGGGAACCCATTCTGCATCATGTTCATTATGTCTCGAAAGACTGGGTTATCTGGGTTGATATTTCCTTGTTGGAACATATTGAAGATATCTGCTGGGCTTAAGTCATTGGACCTATCTGTTTGTGGTCTGTTGGTTGTTGTTTCTTGTCCCCATCCCCTATCTCCTGAGTTACCCCATCCCCCATCTGAACTATCCCAGTTGTCTGAGTTATCCCATCCCCCATCTCCTGAACTATCCCAGTTGTCTGAGTTACTCCATCCCCCATTTCCTGAACTACCCCAGTTGTCTGAGTTACTCCATCCCCCATTTCCTGAACTACCCCAGTTGTCTGAGTTACTCCATCCCCCATTTCCTGAACTACCCCAGTTGTCTGAGTTACTCCATCCCCCATTTCCTGAACTACCCCAGTTGTCTGAGTTACCCCATCCCCTATCTCCTGAGTTACCCCATCCCTGATTTCCTGAATTATCTTGTCCTCTTCCCCTTCCTCTTCCTCTTCCTCTTCCCCTTCCTCTTCCCCTTCCTCTTCCTCTTCCCCTTGGACAAGAACAAACTGCCACCTTTTCCCACATGTAAAAGCCAGTGACTGGGCACTGTTCACCTTTGTAAATGCCTTCGTTCTCTGGAAATGAAACCAGAAATAACAGTAAGGACTGAAAAGTGAACTGTAGGTCATATATTAATGAATCAACCAACACCCGGGACAAGCAGGTGCACTCTTCGCTGCGAAACAACACGGGCCATAGCTATTGCAAAATATTGGGGGGAAATAATGGTTATCAAACTCGTCTGAAGTCGTGTTTGGTTCATTCATGATCTAACTCGAGCAAGATTGTGAAGCTTAATGCCATAGCATGAACTTCTCTTTGAACTGAGGCTAGCAGTGTGTGGGCCCCAGATATCGGTACTTTTTTTCTGCAAAATCCATATATTAACTACAGTAGTTGGATTGTGGTTTTATATGATACTTTATTCTAATAAAAATGATGAATAATTTTAGCTGTGTTTGGGTGCTTTAACACAAAAATAAAGACAACAGCCTCTGCTCAAACTTTTTTTTCTAAGAGTTACAAGAATATTTTCTTTTGTTTTTACATCTACTGTATATGTAATTTTTTATATTATATACTGTATACCGGAATAGTTTCTTTTGTAAAATATGCTTATAAAATACAGCAATCTCCCTAATCCAGAGTAATTCTGATTTTATCGAAAGTGTCCAATATCTAGTTATGTTATATCCATGTACAAAGCTACCCTGTACATCAAACTATTTACTGTATATTATCACATTCACAAAATCTGATGCACACTTACCTATCTTCCAAAATACAGGACTTCGTAGACCTTCCTTTAAGGACATCATAAACTCCTGGAGAGGTTTTTGGAAGAAGTCCTCATTCTCCTGTAGCTCCATCAAGTTTCCTTGCATAAGCACCACGTCTTTTTGTGCAGCTCTGTGGAGACAAACACACCAGTTGAAGATGGGAGCAGCAGGGGGGAAGGGATGAGGCAGTTCAGACCCAGTTTCTAAAGGTTTATATGATGAATATTCCTCATAAGTGAAGCTGTAAGAATGCAACCAACTACTGTACTGTTCTTGACTTGAACTAAAACACATTTAAAGTTCAAGAATATCAAAATTACACTGTGTCTACCTCAAATAAATACATTCACTCAGAGCTACTGTTGGTAGATAGTATTAAGGTGTAGATATTTTTGGGGTAATGATTTTTCACCTAAATTTTGTCCTCAAACTAGTAGTCTCGATGTCATTTTGATGTTACCATATTATTGGAATTTATTTTTATTTATCTCAGTTTATCAATAATTTTAATATAATATGCCCGGATAATTCGCGGATTTTTATTTTGCTGTCCTCTATTATTAGCGGATGACACCCTGGATGTAACCAAGAATGTCTGTGGGTAGTTTTAAATTTGCCGGCATTTTTGCGGCTGGGACAGAGAACCATTCGTTCTAGAGACAGTAATTTCCTTTACCTATACCTGTATTGTAAATAGATGTGTGTGTGTGTGTTTCCACACACAAATATACAGTACAGTATACAGTACAGGTAAAAGAAATAATTGTCCTAAGGGCAAATACATAAAGGGAATACACATTTCTTTGTACACAAGTAAAACTGTAACCCCCCTCCCCCCGATCAGCAAATGTTATTCGCGGATTTGGTGATTCGTGGCCATTTTGAGAACCTAACTCCCACAAATTTGAAGGGCCAACTGTATAAACAGATCTATTTATTTTCTGGAGAAAATTTTCACATGTGCTTTGCTTATATACATACTGTACAGGGTGTTGCATAAATCCTTTGACAATTGTTCTCTGTGAAGTGGTTTATGCACCACCCAGTACATGTGTACAGTATTACGGTCATGCACAGGAGAACATTATGAGAGAATTATAAGGAATTTACTTATTGAATTAATTACATACAAATTAAAAGTCATTACAGGTACACTTAAGTGAAATAAAAAAATAATCATTATCAATACTGTATATCACTAATTATCTCTTCACCATTCTGACGGCCTCTTACAGTACACATGAATTAAAAAATAAATGAAATCACACACTGGGCTCTTAACACTTCAAATACATCATGTGTAGTAGGATACATGTACAGGGTAGTAGGATGCTGACATTTTATACATTTATTATAGGGGAGCTGACTCTTCCAACATCTATCGCAGCAGGACGCTGACATTCACCATCCATGCAGCAGGTCACTTGGATTTTTCACACGTTACTTAAGGTATGATATTCTGACAATTACTACAGCCTTTATCTCGCAAATTATGAAGTTCTGTACTGTACTGTACATAGAACCTAGCCTATGAGGAGTGACAAACGCCATGCGAATGTTGGTCGTTAACTTCACAGTTCACTCCTATTTGCCAAACACTTTATGCTGGAGAGTGATAGTTAAGTCTATTTGAATTCTGAAGAAAAAAATCAAGTTAGTCTCTGAGTGAAGACATTCTGAATGAGTTTCTTCTTCATGGATACTGTTTTATACAAATTTATAATGACATATTTATAGTTTCTTTCTGTGGTTCCTTTGTTTTGTAGAAATTTATAATGCTACAGTATACTCATTGTTTCTTTCTGCCAACCAGTCAACCATTCATGCACAAACATCTCAAAGGTAAACAATAACAATTAGCGTTCATATACGATGGATCACCTGAGACAAAACATCTCCTTGGTAGGGTTGGGGCCGGGCTGCTTTAACAATGAACATGGTGTTCGTGTGGTCACCATCTTAACCACCTACGGAACAGGAAATTAGAGCATTAATTAAAATATTGGTATATGTTTTGCATACATTTGTAACTGATACTAACTTATTTATATTAAATTTGCATGGCCAGGTTGTTGTTTATTTTCATTTTAGGTGCATCAACTCCAAAGGATAATTGGCAAAGAGTATAAAATTCACAAAATACTGTGCTGTATTAAACACTAACCTTCTTAATTCTACCTTAACCTCACCAAACCTAACCTTGGTAATGTTAAGGAAGCAAAAGTCATCTTCAATGTAATAGTCAACTCTACCACAGATGACCTAATATGCATGGAGTTGTAAGAAAGGTAACATATACAGTACTAGGCTCTCGCCAATAACGTCTAATAGGTGCCTGAAAAACGCCTTTATTAGTGAAAACGTTATATGTGTGACATTAAAATACATGTAAAAAGGGTTTATTGGTGCCGCCGCCCCAAAAATTTCACCCATTTTTTCCCCTTTGAAGCCCTCCTAACACTTTTTGTCAGCAGAAACAAAAAGAATTGTTATTTAATCATCAAAATAAAGAATTTGAGTAATATAACACTTACCTTGGGGGAGTTTTTGAGGTGCTTGGTGTGATGATTGTTCCAAGGCTGGGGCATGGAGGCTACTGTGTCGAACCTCTGCCCACTCCCCTGGCCCCATATCCATCCCCGTCCCCACACTGGCCTCTCGCACCCGGTTCACTCACTTCCGCTAACACTTCATCAAACCCCGCAAGGTCAAAATTTTCAGGCATTTCCCCAATGTCATCAATGTCTTCATCAACTTCAACCTCTCTCTATTGGTCTTCCTCGGCTGGCCGGCTTTGTAAAAGAAAGCGAGTGATGAGTGACTGCTGCCGGGCATTCACTCGCTCGTTGTACTGCTTCTGGTATTTTCTTGAAATAGATTTTACAAATCCAATCATTTGCTCCCTTTCACCTGAGTCAATCTCAATGTTTTGGATCATCTCTTGAAGGCTGGTACAGACACCCAATAAGAGTGACAGCTTCTGTGTCGTCACTTTCCTCTGCTCGGTCTCTCCTGCATCACTCGCTGCATCACCACTCTCACCACCTTCTTCATCCTTCAGGAGATCCTCGACGTCATTTGTGTTACCTTCTTGCATTAGTTCTTCTAAATCTTCCCAAGTCACTTCTTGAAATCCTGGGGCTAGGTTACTGCGGACGGTTTCCAACACTTGGTTCATTAACTCTGCTGTCTCTTCGTCTCGGCAGACTTGAGTTGTGGCAGGAGTGCCGACCAGGCATGCCTAACGGTTGCTTTTGTAGTATTTCCCCAGGCTTTTACAAAGAATTTGACTGCCTTGCAAATGTTATAATTTTTCCAGAAGGCAGTAACGGTCATTGTGGAGGTTGCAGGTACACCAGGTGGAGCAGGGATGGCAGGGTTTGCAGGTGAGCCAGGTGGAGGAGTGGAGGCGGAGGCTGTGGGTGAGCCAGGCAGAGCAGCGGAGGCAGCGAGGGGAGGATCCTCCTCCTCCTCACTACAGTGACCCCTCGGTTAACGAACTCAATCCGTTCCAGAAGGTCGTTCATTAACCGAAAAGTTTGTTAACTGAAACCATTGTTTCAATGGGTTTTTGGGTAATTGGTTCCAGCTCACTGAAAATTTCCTAAATTCAACAAAAATGGTAGAAAAGTTCACTTACTTTGAGGTGTGTATGTAGAAGGCTCCTGGATGATGATGATGATGATGGGATTTAGAATGGGGGTGGAGGAGAAGGAAGAAGAGAAGGCATTGGGGTGGAAGAGAAGTCACCCCATGGCCCATTTCACCCATAAAATTTTAGCTCTCTTGGTGTAATTCAAGATTATTTTCTTTAAATCAACACTGCACTGCATTATATATTGTCAATATGTAAAATATATTTCAAAATGACCAATAATTTGCTTGGAAACACAGAAAAAAAGCGTTTAGTTGAAGAGAGTCTCAAGCAAGATGTTACCTCCAGTGAAAACAGAGAGAGACTAACGCCTGTTTGCTGTGTTAAGAGGCTGGATGGCGCGCATTAAACTAGTCACTTTCCCTAGCCCCCACAGGCAAAAACGCAGAAACCATTATTGACCACCGAGCCTAGCAACCACTGGTTATAGAGGCGAAAATCTCACACGTGGGCGCAACACTATTCCACCGAGCGTGTGTGTGAGAGTGAGTGAGGGGGAGCGGACAACTACGTCATCAACATGGCAGCAAACAAACTCTATCTTTGATGCGCTCTGACGCTTCCTGCAAAATCTCCGTTATTCAAGAGAATCCAGACGTTATTATCAAAATGGGTATCTATTGTAACTTACCGTTATTGTCGAAAATGTTATTGTGGAAGTCGATATTGGCGAGAGCCTACTTAGTCATTAGTTTTAAGAAGTTAGAGAGAATTATATTATCTCAATGTAGACTTACCGAACGCAATAAACCGAAAACTTGTTCCTTCTTGTTCTTGACGGACTCGATATACGAGAGCAGGAGGTCAAGCATGGCATCCATAGTTTCATCACCCTGGATCTCCGTCCTCAGCAATTCGCTCACATTGTTTGTGATGAAGTCCAACAAGGGCTCCACCACACTCTCCAGCATCTCAATCCCAATTGTATTATTCTGCATTAGGAACTTCCTGAAATATATATAACAGGTTATGAAAAGGGTCTTGAGACTTGATAATTACTTAATTATTATTACCGAAGACTGACAAATACTATTACTGTTTATGTTAGTTTCGAAGATCATGTGAACCCAAGGAAAGAATGAGGATGAAAGTAAATAAGGTAATGAAAAATAGAGAAAATCAGAGAAAAGGTTGAATATATATGAAAGACATGCAGCTATTTTTGGTCTCATTCTATTTCAAATGTACAGTACTGTATTTTACTTTTATGGTCATCCTCGAACCCACTTAATGCAGTTCATAAAATTGAGAGTCTTATTTTTTCGATATACCGCTGAAATTGAACTACTGTATACTGTACTGTACCTTACCTGTATTATCTTGACTATTGACAAACTTTATCAATATTAAAAATTATTGGTTAACTTTTGACTTATCTTTTTTATGTCATCATCATCATTCGTTTACTGCCCCACTTCTGACACTCATCCTTAACATGCTACTTTTTTCATAATCATTAGAATGGGCAAAGATGTCTTGTTGTCCATCTCTTACCCTGTACAAAGAGTTCTATCTCTCGTAATTTTTATCATTGTTGGACTAATATACTGTACAGTACTGTATTATTAACTTTGTTACGCACTTAAAGACCTTCGTTGTTGTAGTAATAACAACTCACCCTGCTGATAAACTTTTACTGTATGAATATATCGTATTGACAGGTACATGACTAACGTTTATGTGATTTACCTTATCAATTCGAAGGCTTTTGATCTGTGAACAATTTCTGCGAAGCGAGAAAATGTTTCAAACTTGCCGCTCAATCCCATGTCGAACACCTCCTTGATATTCTGGCGGGTGGACAGAGGCAGGAAGTCAAGCTCCACCAAGTCCTCAGGCTGTGCCCCACTCATCAACCTCATGTGCACCTTCATCGACCACTTCTCCATTATTCTTGAAAAGAAGTTGGCTTCAGGACTGAAATTTATACATTAGGTTTATGTATATGAATCAGTAAACAGCCACAACGTAACGTTAAACTGGCTAGTGTTGCTAGGTGTTGAGAAGAAGGCAAAGTTATTACTATTGGTTGGGAAGTCCCTCACCACCCACAACAAAGTTAGAGTAATGATAATAATGTATTGTAATTTGGAAAAATTACTTATTCCTGGAACCTCTTTCAAAGTTTACATAGGTATATTTTAGAGATTGCAGCATCAAAAATACTAATAAAATTGGGATTACGTACAGTGAACCTCTGGTGTTACTGTACAACAAAAGCATTTACAGTCGTGGGTTTAATTCCCGGGCTGGATGTAAGAAGGAAGTTATCTAAAATGAACCTACAAAATATCAAAGGTTTTCTCCAGTTTCTTCTTGTACTCACATTAGACAAAGGTTGTAACAAAGAACAGCCCAACTGCCCAAATGGTCTAATAAACTGATTAGTGGAAATTTTGATTTTGAAATTAAACCTGAGATTGACTTGCCTGTTTGAATTGGGACTCCAATGAGATGATCTATAATCATTTAGTCCTCTAGGCATTCCATATCTTTCTGGTTCTTCATTATAATAATCGTCTTGTGGTGCTTCATTATAATAATAGTCTTGTGGTGCTTCATTATAATAATCGTCTTGTGGTGCTTCATTATAATAATCGTCTTGTGGTGCTTCATAATAATAATCGTGTTCACTACTTGTTTCATACTCATGTGATTCACTACCTCCTTCACTACTTGTTTCATACTCATGTGATTCACTACCTCCTTCACTACTTGTTTCATACTCATGTGATTCACTACCTCCTTCACTACTTGTTTCCTCATAATAGTTAGATGTATCACGCCGTGATCTTGACCTCGGCGATCGTTTAGTCCTAGATTCATCAGTGATCCATTCAGATCCCGGATCTTGCTCTCCTCTAGCAATTGTGTCATGTTCCATAGTTGCTCTCTTTCCGTCATCTGGAAATGGTTATTCTCAATAAACTTCAAATAAATCTACCCTTTGTAGCATGCTGGGGTGTGTAGAACCTCCATTAAAAACTATCCAATACAAATCTATGACAACACCCAACTGCAATACAATTGGTAACCTCGGTGCTGCAGACAGAAGAACATAAGAATGAAGGAAACTGCAGCAGACCTATTGGCCCATACTGGGCAGTCCCATTTACACCCAACCCCTATTGCTCGTACTGTATATCCATCCAACCTATGTTTAAAGTTATCCAGCGTATTCGAGTTAATGATCCACTACTCTTTCCAAACCAATGTTTACCTATTACTCGCCTAAATCTAAGTTTGTCTAATTTAAAACCATTGTTACGAGTTCGCTCCTGGTTGGATAGTTTGAGTACCCTTGTAATGTCACCTTTGTTCAGCCCTGACTTCCATTTACCGGTATACACCTCTATCATATCGCCCCTCACTCTACGTCTCTCGAGGGAGTGCAAATTAAGATGTTTTAACCTGTCTCTGTACTCATGGTTCCTAATGCCCAGGATTAGTCTTGTCATTCTCCTCTGAATTCTTTCTAGGGATTTTATATCCATTCAGTAATACAGTGACCAGAATTGAACTGCTTAATCCAAGTGAGGTCTCACAAGCGCAAGATATGGTTTTAGGATGACCTCGCTAGTCTTGTAACTAACACTCCTTTGTATGAATCCAAGTACTATACTTCATTAGCTTTGTTTCGAGGAAATACACATTGTTTACTTGGCTTAAGATTCCTACTTATCATACTCCTAAATCTTTCTCACATTCGGACTTCTCCATAACATCATTGTTCATCTGAGATCTGGTTTCTCTGTTTACATCTCCTGGACTAAAGTACTTTACATTTGTCTACATTGAATTTCATTTGCCATTTTTCAGACCATTCGAAAAATTTGTTTAGATCTTTCTGGAGTTTTGCGAAGTCCTCGTCAAAATTAACTACACGCCTTATTTTAGTGTCATCAGCAAATTTACTTGGGTTGCTGTCTACGCTGATATCTATGTCGTTTATTTATATAATATATAATAATGGTCCAAGTACTGAGCCTTGGGGTACTCCACTAGTGACATTACTCCAATTGGATTTAGTGCTGTTAATGCTCACTCGCTGTTTCATGTCCTGTAACCATGCACTAATCCATTTTAGAATATCTCCTCCAATGCCATGAGCCTCCACTTTTCTTATTAGTCTTTCGTGGGGGACTCTGTCGAAGGCTTTGCTAAGTCAAGATATACCACATCATAGTTGTGCCCCTCGTCCACTGATTTGAAAACAGCTGAAAAGAATGTTATTAGATTAGTTAGACATGAACGCCCGCATCTACTCGTTATATCACACAAAGAAAACTACAGTATAATTAGAAAAAATGTATGAGTAAAGTGGAAGAGACAAGAAGTAAGAAATGGAATAGTTTTTGTAGTCTTAAGAGTTGAGAGAAGATAATTGTAATAGATATACTGTATTGTACTTCACCATAGATGAGGGGAAGGGTAGATTATAGGTGAGACTGATAGGATGGGTAGATCATAGGTGAGGGGAAGGATAGGTCATAGGTGAGGGAAAATTAAGTAATAGGTGAGGACTGCAGGGTTTGAGATGAACTGGCATGAATCATTATGCTTCTGTTAAATATTCAGAAAATGCATTCTGGTCGGTATTCTCCAATTTTCATGTCTTTATAAAATTAGGTAATTTTGTGCATAATTTAACTTTGTTTCAGCATGTGAACCACTTACAGTACTAAATTTAGCTTGTGTTATTTTATAATACCACCTTGACCTCAAACTACCCTTGGAAATATTGACACTGTACGTTAATGCCGTTTAAAAAATTCAAACAAAACCTGTAACAAAGCATCAAAAAATAAGTGGAACAGATAAAGCATTACAAATATAAAAACAATAATGCCAGGAAATCATGAAAGGCACTGTACTGTATGATAACTTGGCCATAGCAGTGATAGCTTTATACTGTATAGGTGTACTGCGACTGTACTGTAGTTGTCATAATAATAATAATAATAATGATGAAAAAAAAATGTGGCCTTTTGGGAAGTAACAATACTCATACACATGCTATTTTTGTCATGGGTCTGATACAGTATAGTATTCACAATTTATATACGTAGTAAATGATTCAAATCTGAGCATTCTACTAGTTAACTTTATACAACTGGGAGGCCATTCTAGGTCATAGGTGAGAGGAAAGTGTAGGTGGAGAGTATAGTTACCTATTTTTGAGGGACAGAAGAGTTCGTCTGTGCCATCTGTACAGTCCTCGACGTCATCACACACCTTCTGACACTCCAACACCTGATTGTCCGCACATGTGAAATTACATTCCTCTTGGCTGTTAGAAGAGGAATTTTGACATTGTTTAGTCTTCTTGTTTTCCTATTTATTTTTCATTAAATATCTCATATGTGTATATAATTGTGTGTGTGAATACAGTATTAGCTTTGAATATTCCTTTTGTAACACACCACTGACAAGATATAGAACTTACTTAATAAATTCCTTAGCTTTCAAGAGGCCACCGCCATGTGCTGCCTGTCGTGAGGGCCTGCCATTGGCAGACATAGGAGGCCCCCTTTCTCTGTGTGGGTTAGGGCCTCTTTCACCAAATGGTTGCTGGCCATATCCATCCATTGGACCCATTATATCTTGTGGGGGTATTCCCATAAAAGCCATCCATATGTTACTGCACTCATTAAAATCATCACAAGTGTCCATTCTACCTGAGCACTTCATCAGGGCCATGGGTCCATAAAAAATGTGTAACATCATCATGAGGTGCTGTCTCGCCGAATTGAGCACGATTCTCCGTAGGACTCCATCCTGTTCCACTATCTGATCCATCAAGGTACCTACCAGACCCGCCACCAACATCACCTGTTTGTGGACTTCACCCTGGATATCGCCCTGTAAACATTAGCATTAATTATTCTTCCATTTATGGCATGGAGCTGTGAAATATATATACAGTGGTCCCTCGGTTAACGAACACAATTAGTTCCAGTAGGTCGTTCGTTAACCGAAAATTTCGTTAACCGAAACCATTGTTTCAATGGGATTTTGGGTAATTGGTTCCAACTCACCGAAAATTACATATAAACTAAAATTAAATGCATAAAGTACACTTACTTTAAGGCTCCTGGTTGATGATGATGATGATGGGAATTAGAATGGGAGTGGAGGAGAAGGGAGAAGAGAAGGCCATTTCACCCATAAAATTTTAGTTCACTTGGTGTAATTCAAGATTATTATCTTTAAATCAACAGTGCACTGCATTATATATTGTCAATATGTAAAATAAACTTCAGAATGACCAATAATTGTACTGTAAAAACATAAAAATATTTTATGTTCAAGAGAGTCTCAAGCAAGAAGCTTCCTCCACAGAGCAGGGACACACACTGACGCCATTTTGGGTGTGTTGAGTGGCTGTTTGGAGCTAATAACTAGTTCCCTGTACTTCAATTATGTTAAATAATTGTTAAAATGACTAAAAACTTTAATATAAGACTTGGAATATTATTGAATAGTACAACCTTCTTGATATTTACTCAAAGGCAAACACATATTGGGAAAAATTCGTAAGGAATTCGTTAACCGAAGTGAAGAATCTTATGGAAGGTAATTCGTTAACCGAAATTTCGTTAACCGAGGCGTTCGTTAACTGAGGGATCACTGTATGTGCCAGCCATAGTGATATGACATTGGATAAAGAATATACTTACAACAACTTTTCATATTAGTAATTGTGAAAGGAATGCTCGTAAGCACAGTAATTAACAATATAAAGTTGCAGAGGAAGTGATCAGTAGAGCAGTAAGGAACTCGCTTATAGTGATTTAAACACACACTAGTGATTGAGGTGAGACAGGTAATAAATATAATGTACTTTACTGTACCTGTATACGGTAAGAGAGAGGTAGTGACACAGCAGTAAGTGTAAGCTATGTTAGCACTGAATTTCAGTAACATTCCCAAGAGTTATGACTAACACACACACACACATTTTTTAAGTACAGTACAGTATAGTTATTGGTACTTTTTGAATGCTGTATGGCTTTTTAAGCAGAAAAGTTGATAAAAAGACAACACTTCAATAGTTTTGATAAATGATTATTGCAGATACTGTAATATTGGTGAGAGTATTAAAATAAGAACTATGGGAGGTGCAGCTATTTTAGTACTGTAATGGTACTGTCTCTAGAAAATGTGTTGTTTACATCATTTAACAAAGAATCACTTACAGCATACGCTCGTTTTTTAAATATCCAAATAAATCTTTGTATTTTGTGTCCACGTTAGTTGCTAGATGAGACTTATTTCTCATCATCCACAGAATTAAAAATATTATATATGAAGCGAAGATTCCTAATCACTTAATTACACAAGGCGACCCATGAAGAGAATTGAAAAAAAGAAAGAGTAAATAACAGACGTGATAATATGTTCAGGGTATTAAATATAAAAAACATGGTGATATTTGTTGAATAGCAACACTGTTGTTTGACAACCAAAAGCTAAACAATAAGATAAACTTCCTTGAATAACTCCCTCCTCATCAACAGGTCCACATCATGAGCTGCTGCCACCAAACCATCAAGTTACTCAGTCAAAAAATTTAGCTATTGTCCACATATTCTTTATCTCTTAATGAATATGAAATTACAAATACATTACAGGATGCTTCATATCTAAATGCAACTATCAAAGTCAAATCAATACAGAAGATTTGTCAAATTTACAAAATTCATGTCCAGAGACAGACCAACAGACATTTGGAAGACACAGGAGGAATTAAAGTCAAACAGTTTATCACTTCAAGAAACTTACATCTGTGGCAACCTCGTTCATGTCGATCACCAGGCTCTTAACAAGTGACCTGACCTCCATAACCAGTGAGTCGTTGCTGGCAGCCCAACTGGTGTCGGGACAGATGTTGAGTGCCTGTAACCTGGCGACGCGCTGGGTAGTCAAGGCATGCTCCTTTACCTTCAGGAACACATCCTCCATTGTGGCTGCCACTATCCCCCCTCGTCCTGACCCACCCTGACGACACAAGACAAATATTGAGGTCTCTCTCTCTCTCATATTTTTTATTATAAAAAATATTAGTACAGTAGAGGAGTAATATAGGTAATAATAGTAATTTTGAATATAATTAATAAAACAATCGGTAGCAGTTCAAAAAATGTCATTACTGTAATTTATTTGATTTATTAAAGATTTTTATTATCAAATCAATTTTTTTTTCTACACCGTATGCTTTGTCCTCAACCTTGGTGTGATATTCATTGATCATATACCTGCATTAATCAGAGTACAGTACTGCACCATTCTCATATCTAAGGGTTGACAACCATAGTTTTCCATTCAAAATGTTTTCAGGCTTTTTTTTTTCAAATCCTCTGAAATTTTCTATCTCTGGAGACCCAAAGTTTTTAATTTCATTCATCCATCCCAATCTTTACCTTCTTCTGGCCCTCCTACCCTCAACTTTGTCCATTAATATACAGCATCTGCTATTATCCCTCCATCCCTCCTATTTCTGTAAATTTCAAGTATTTCTCTTGATGTTTTTGTCAGTCTTAGCACTTTTACACATTTATTTTCCTGTACATGTAACTTATTTTTAACATTTGCCTTTAACACCACAGTTCAAAGATCTCTAACCTCTTTCTGGTGTCTGCTGAAAGTAGCCATGCTTCTGACCCATACATCAGTCCTGACCATATATAGCATTTCAGCTGCATCTTTTTCTCAAATAGAATGTAACGACCCTTTTATTGGGTCCTTTAGGTTATAAATTGCTGTTTTTGCTTGACCTATTCTTGTGTTAATTTTTTTGGGCACATATACAATCACAGTTAATATTACTATCAAACTAACACATACCGAAATAAGTAGATGTTTTTTATTTGTAAAATTACCCCTATGTGTCTAGCAATAGATTTCAAAACATTAAAGAGTAAGTTGTGTCTTACTGTCATATTTAAAAAAAGAGACTTTAATATATTTGAAGGTTTTACTTACATGCCTTTCAAGAAGTAGAAGTAAGGATTTGTTCAAGATGATACGTTTTTCTTTTCCTCAGGTTATACAGATCTTAAGATAGACATCGTCTAAAAGTTTTAAAAATGAGTAAAACAAGGATTAACTTACCTTGTATATGTAGCCAGGTGGCAGCTTCTTGTCGTTGATGAGGAGGAGGGCATCCCTACCCTCATTGGCCATGTCAGGGATCACCCGACACGTGCTCCCTTCCGTGTTGACTACACCACAAGAAGAAACATTACAGTAAAACTCACATAATGAAACAGTTGGATCAAAACATATTCATCCTATTATTATTTTAATTTCTATAAAAACCACGAGTCATGCATAACAAAGCTTTGAATATTTTTTTAATAAATGCTGTAAGCCATTGGTTTCAATCTGTCACTAGTCACTTTACTTTATTACATAACTATAACATAATCAGTGTAAAGTACTGTCAACATGCAAACACTGCAGACACACTTACACTGAGAACAAATGAGCTGAATTGGAGACATGAGAAGGTTATTTGTTATGTTCACATCATTAGTCATACTGAAGGGGTCGATCATCAGAGTGAGAATACCAAATGGTATATGACAAGGTAGTTTGGCTGGCCCTTTTAACAAGTTCATATCCACATCCAACATCTCGATGATATCTATTGGGAATGAATTGGGTATGATATGTTATGAATTTCCAACTGACATCTGCCTAGTACAGTCAAGAAAGATATAGAGAAATTAAAGAGATAATCCTGAATAAGAATAGTTTGATTGGGGATTACTCAACTTTAGGTCACAGCAAACCCTTACTTTTATGATGATATAATTTTACAAAGTGTTGCCCATCCACAAACACATCACAGTAGGCTTAAGGGAAGGTCGAGAGCTAAGGGTATATTGCAAGAATAACTGAAGATAAAACTAACCTATTGTTAAAGCAGAAGAATCCTCAATCTTAACTCCCTAAGGAGAACAGAGGTAATAACTAGGCTCAATAATGGCAGAGACGGCTGATAATAATCGTATAATGATATTAAAATGTTTGTTAAATTTTGTATCAATCCTCAAAGCTAATTTCAAATAACTGAAAGGAAACAAAGTTTGCACGGAGGAACAGATAGGGATGTGCCTCAACATATTCCTCGATGAAGCGAATAATAGTTAATAAGCAAAGAGTGAATAGGTGCTCTGGAGGAGTCAGTAGATATTAAAACAAAAACATTTTGAGCAGACAAGGTACGAGGTAGGGAGAGCCAAGAGGAGGATTATCAGTGATCACAAAGAAGGAAAAATTTAGGGTAAAAAGCTTATTAAAAATTTATATCAATGAGAGATTATAATCCAGTGAGTATTCAATACTCAAAAAAAGTTTTAATGAACTATATATTGCTTGCTAAGATAACAAATCCGAGAAACATACTGTACTGGTAAATACATGTAAGTACTACAGGTATTTTGATTACTGGGAGGATGTCATAAAGGGAAATGTACAATTGAAAATCATGAAAGAATCTTAAAAAAACTTACTCTTGGGTCCATTATTCTCGACGTCAACCAAGAGCAGCTCCCAGCCTGACAGAAGGTCACTTCTGAACATGCCTTCTTTTTCCCACAAGAATAAGTGCATCGCTGTGAACGCCTCTATCTTCTCGAATAATGTCCTAAGGGAAAAATATTTAATATCATGTTTATAGTATTAACTCGTGTGTAATAGCTAATAAAAACTGCTAATTGTACTGAAGAGAACCTAGTGTGATTAAAATCTTACTAAATGTTAGAATGTTAGGTGTATGACCAAGTATTTTATGAGTAACACAGTTAAGAAAATTGTAGTACGAAGTGGTAGTAGTGTGGGCATGGGGGAGTAAAACGACTATTTCTCCCTCCCCACATGCTATTGAAGAGGACCAAACTATCTTCTGCGCCCACAGGTGAAACTTTATTTTTAAAAAGCAGAGTTAGTTACTTGGCAAGTATCACCATGGCCACATAACGTTCCAGCATATCAATATTCTTCATTTCTCAGCTTGTGTCACTTAACTAAAATAATTAGCTACTGCCAGGCCCAAGATGCTGTCACGTCTAATGTTTGAAGAAAGTAAAAGTGACACCAATTATGCTCGAAATATTTATTGCGAATCATTTGCATTATATGGAAAAATAGAGTCCATTGAAATATGATGAGAAGAAAATTTTCAAAGCATTCACTGTAACTTGCATTAAGCCAAAAAACAAACAAATCTTTTACATTTTATTATCTATCAAAGTTTTCAAAACTCGTTCACTGTCTAAAATAAACATCCAGATATATATATATATATATATATATATATATATATATATATATATATATATATATATATATATATATATATATATATATATATATATATATATATATATATATATATATATATATATATATAATTCTTCCCTACCCTCCTCCTGACTCACATCTCATCATCGGCCAATATCTCGTATGCCTTCGGAAAGGGTGGGATGTAAGAGACGAAGGCTACAACTTCAGGAACGTTCAGGGCACTCGTTTTAGGTAGATCGTATACACCATTCCTGATGCTTACTTGCACACCTGCAAAATCAAAACAAAATTAGAATATATTAATATACAGTAGACTACCAGTACTGTATTTTTTATACCTGTACCCATTCATTTCCTGATCAATGCTCACAAAAGTAAGCTGGCTAGTTAATGTAAACTGTCTCCTGTCTGTGTGTCAGTATACTCTACCTGTCGCCTGTCTGTGTGTGTCAGTATACCTGTATCCTGTCTGTGTACGTGTCAGTATACCTGTATCCTGTCTGTGTGTGTCAGTATACCTGTATCCTGTCTGTGTGTGTCAGTATACCTGTCTTCTGTCCTCTGTGTGTGTCAGTATACCTGTATCCTGTCTCTGTGTGTCAGTATACCTGTCTTCTGTCCTCTGTGTGTGTCAGGCATACTGTCGCCTGTCTGTGTGTCAGCATACCTGTCTCCTGTCTGTGTGTGTCAGCATACCTGTCGCCTGTCTGTGTCAGTATACCTGTATCCTGTCCTCTGTGTGTGTCAGCATACCTGTAGCCTGTCTCTGTGTGTCAGTATACCTGTCTTCTGTCCTCTGTGTGTGTCAGTATACCTGTCGCCTGTCTGTGTGTCAGCATACCTGTCTCCTGTCTGTGTGTGTCAGTATACCTGTCTCCTGTCTGTGTGTGTCAGCATACCTGTCGCCTGTCTGTGTGTGTCAGTATACCTGTATCCTGTCTGTGTACGTGTCAGTATACCTATCCTGTCTCTGTGTGTCAGTATACCCATCCTGTCTGTGTGTCAGTATACCTGTCTCCTCTCTGTGTGTGTCAGCATACCTGTCCCTGTCTGTGTGTCAGTATACCTGTCTTCTGTCCCCTGTGTGTGTCATACCTGTCGCCTGTCTGTGTGTGTCAGTATACCTGTCTCTGTCCTCTGTGTGTGTCAGCATACCTGTCTCCTGTCTGTGTGTGTCAGTATACTGTCTTCTGTCTCTGTGTGTGTCAGTATACCCGTCGCCTGTCTGTGTGTGCTGTATACCTGTCGCCTGTCTGTGTGTGTCAGTATACCTGTATCCTGTCTGTGTACGTGTCAGTATACCTGTATCCTGTCTCTGTGTGTGTCAGTATACCTGTATCCTGTCTGTGTGTGTCAGTATACCTGTATCCTGTCTCTGTGTGTCAGTATACCTGTCTTCTGTCCTCTGTGTGTGTGTCAGTATACCTGTCTCCTGTCTGTGTGTGTCAGTATACCTGTCTCCTGTCTGTGTGTGTCAGCATACCTGTATCCTGTCTCTGTGTGTCAGTATACCTGTCTTCTGTCCTCTGTGTGTGTCAGTATACCTGTCGCCTGTCTGTGTGTGTGTCAGTATGCCTGTATCCTGTCTATGTGTCAGTATACCTGTATCCTGTCTATGTGTCAGTATACCTGTATCCTGTCTATGTGTCAGTATACCTGTATCCTGTCTATGTGTCAGTATACCTGTCTCCTGTCTGTGTGAACAAATATAACATCTACTACGAAACAACCTTGTAAAGGATTGCCAACGGCTTTATGCCGGGGAGCTCCTGCTTAACACAATTGCTCAAAGTATTGGATATTTGGACCCATATTCCGGAACAGGGTGGTAAAATATTGACAATATATACCTAGATTTTGCTAAAGCTTTCGACAGTGTACCCCACGAAAGGCTGAAAATCAAACTGGAAGGGTACGGAATTCGGGGAAATGTCATAGCATGGATAGAAGACTTCCTACATGACCGCAAGCAGTGTGTGGTGATTAGTGTCACGAAATCATCATCTGTACCTGTCACAAGTGGGGTACCACAGGGCAGTGTATTGGGCCCGCTGTTGTTTGTTTGTTTCATAAATAACACGCCTGACGTTGTACACTCCTCCATACAAATGTTTGCTGACGACGGCAAGTTATTTCGGGAAATCAAGAACCAAGCAGACTGTGAAGAGCTGCAGAAGGATCTCTGTGAGCTCCAAGAATGGTCGAAGAAATGGCTGCTGAGATTCAATGTCACGAAGTGTAAGAGGATGCACCTGGGGCGTACCAACGGTAAGGAGGCGTATCATACGTCCCAACGGGATGAAGAAACTGCACTATTTGAGACAATGTGAGAAGGACCTTGGTGTGTATGTTGACAATGAGCTGAAGTTCTCGGGCCATTGTGAGAAGAAGGTAAATCAGGCAAATAAATTATTGGGTCTTATAAGAAAGAAGGTCGTTTAGATATCTAGAAGGTCAGTCCCTCGTAACGATCTTCAGGAGTGAAGTGCTTCCCCATCTGGAGTACTGTCACCCCGTCTGGTCCCCAAGATATGCGAGGGACTGTCAGTTGGTTGAAAATGTTCAAAGGAGGGCCACCAGACTGATGCCTGCACCTCGGTACCTCAACTACCCTGAGGGATTGGAGCGCCTGAACGTGCCTAGCTTAAACTGCAATGGGCGACCTAATTGAGGTGTATAAGCATCTCAGGGTGCACTACTCGGTCGAGTGTCCTTACTTGGAGCTGGCGGACGCTCGCCCCACAAGGGGTCACAGCTCAAGATTGAATAAGCCGCAGGTCCAGAAAACTGTGAGGGCAAACTTTTTCGGGGTGAGAGTTGTGAACTCTTGGAACAATCTACCAGAGAGTGTTGTGACGGCACCGAGTGTGAGCTCTTTCAGGACCAGACTTGACCAACACTGGAGCAGGTTCAGGTACATTCAGGAGCCGGTGCATGCCCAGTACTTGCCAACAGTGCGTAACAGAGACGTGACCGATCGCCCAAGTGGCTAATGAGCCGATCAGTGGCGAAGAGGATAAAAAATAAAAATAATAATGATTCATAGAACTTGGTAATTTAACTAACAAAAGTCCACCACCTAATATGTTAAGACGTATTTAAGTTCTAACATCTGACAAACAAGCCAACTTTAGAATACTGTAGTTAAAGTATACTGCAATGTGCTGAACCTGCAGAACAGATAACGTGGTACTCAAGAGATCTTGGGATAAAACAAGGTCAAGTAGAGCTACAGTGCCACGTAACACTCTATACCAGCCATAATTTATCAAAGGCGAGTTTCAGCACCTGTAAAATATATACTTACTGATTGAAAGAAAAATATTGGAAAATTTATACATAGTACTATCTGTTCCTACACTATGCACACATATCAATCAATCATTCAGATTATATATATATATATATATATATATATATATATATATATATATATATATATATATATATATATATATATATATATATATATATATTGCATAGTGGAGTGGTAATGATGCTTTCTACTTCTATACCAGATTTCAACAATTTCATCAACGTTTTATAAAATGATTCAGTGAGAATGTTGTCTTCATCATATATTGACACTGATTTTCATAAATATACATCTAAACTGTACGTTCTTTTTACGTATTTAGCGCCCTTGTTACTCTGAAATTTGGGCGCCAATATGCATTCTGCTGCTCTGCACTCGTCTGCAGTCCACTGACTCAACACTACAGTCAAGTGACCTCAGACCTGTCTGATACATTCGGTGAATGGGTACGATGACAGCGCTGCTGCAAAAAACGTGTTTGATGTAATCATAATGCAGTGTAAGGAAATAATTAGTTTTGTTAATCATTTTAAAAGATCAGAATCACAGTGAAATCTAACACGGCCTGAAAATTGGTGGATGAGTGTGACAGACTTGGCCGCTCGAGCCTGAAATATAATCGTGAACAACTTCATATTTCAGTGATTCTGAACTTTTAAAATGTTAGTTTTTGCATAATGTAGTTTCACTGTTACGTAATTTGTCTTAGTATGCCTTATCGTAAGTAAAAATAAATATATATTAAATGCGTCCTCCGAAAGCGTCAATTTTCTACCAGAGTTTAACAGCTAATTCATGTATAAGATTTCTGATAAACTTCCTACGTGTTCCTGTTTGAAATAATGAATGTCTGTATCTACATATAATTTAGCTAAATATCTTTCTCGTCAGAAACGGTTATCCTAACGATTATGAATAAACTAATTTAGAAATGCATCATTACTTCAGGACGAAATCGAACAGCTTTGCAACAACCAATCAACTGCAACTCTTGAGGGAAACAACGCACTATAATCACTTTGCTACATCAAGGAGCCGCCGCAGGGAGTTGATTTACAAATAATTCCCAGCTGGACCCCAGAGTATTCACGCCATCAACTTCAATGGTAAATGTTATTTTTAGTCCTCTAATATTCTAGTGACTCAAAAGTATATAATTTCCTATGTATTTTGCTGTTTTGAATGAATTTGAGCCTCAAAACTCGCGAATCAAATTTTTTTTAGTTATGACCTCCCCTTCCCCCAACAAAAATGGGAACCTCGTGGGAACCGGGGTGTTGGGTGGGGGGAAACTCAAAAACGAGTGATTTGCACCAGTTTTGAAGGTCAAATTTATTCAAAACAGCAAAACACATAGGAAAAACATATTTTTCCTAACCAAAATATGCATCCTAACCTAACCTAGATTTCACGTATGTTACCAGATTTATCGTAAATGATTATAGGACTAAAGTTAACAAATACCACTTCAACTCACAAACTGGACCACATAAACACAATAAACTTTATTATCAATCATGTGTTAACTAAGCTGTGCGTTAAATTTTTTCAAGGGTCATTACTTACTACCATTTAATAAAATCTACAATATAGTTTATAAACTTTAATTAGCATGTTCGAAAGTACCTACGGTGACATTTTCTATATAATAAAAATTAGATCGTGTTTTTTAACTTAAAATTATATCTCTAAATTGAAATGAAAGTCTTTAAATTACTTCAAAGATCGATTCTAACTACTGTAGACTATAAAAAGGTAATCTACTGAAACTGCAATCCTATTACATTATTTTTTTATTTATTTAAGGGGTGTTGTTATTGTTTCTAATTTCTTTGTTATTTGTATCATTATTATCATTATCTTTTGTTATTCTATTATAATTATTATTGTGATATTATTTATACAATTATTATTATTATCGATAACATGATGCTCTTTTATCGTCATCACAGTACATTACTTACCCCTGGCTGTGACAGACCCCCCGGCCGTGAGTGACAGTTCGGGTTCTTCGCTGGTTATTACCTGTAGCTGCCAACTCAAGTCCACCTCTGTAAAAACGTAAGTGTAAATCGTGATAAGAGTTAAGTATAGTACACAGTATTTACTAACACCATGTAGGTTGTTGTAGTCTACACACTTTTCTTCAAATACAGTAAATGTACCGTATTTTTTAGGTGCCTTCAAAACAGCTGCAGGGAAGAAATAAACATAATAATACCCTAGTGTGATTAAGTGTTGAAAAGGAATGGATTCTCTTCGTGAAACAGATGTGCCTTGTTTTTATTGCTATGGCTGCAAAAATTATATAAAAAATGCATTTGACTATATTTAAAACGTTAAAGTTAGGTTTGGTTAAAGTTAAGTTAGATTAGGTCAGGTTAGGTTAAATTTAAGTTAGGTTAGGTAAGATCAGGTAAGGTTAAAATTGTTAGGTTAAGTTAGGGTATGAAATAATAACCCTTAAACACACGCTTGTCTTATTTTAGTTGGTGACTTTAATGTATAAAATGGATTTTTACCCTTGTGTGTGTGTGTGTGTGTGTGTGTGTGTGTGTGTGTGTGTCAGTGTGTTTGTGTGTGAATGTAGAATACGTGTACTGTAATAATTAACGGTTTTATTGAGACTTGCAGCTTAGGGCTGAAAATAAATTCTGTACACTTTATGAGATATTGCGGAGTGGGTCATTTATTATAAGTTTTAATCATATTATTGTAAAGTATTGTATTGTTCAGTAGACTCACCCCCAAGGCACTCTTCCTCTTGACTGACACATTTATAGTCGGCTACAGGTGCGGCATCTGATTCCCCGACCCAGACTGCTACACAGACGAAATATTGTCCACAGTTCTGAAAGGAAATACCTGTATTTGTGTTCACTAAAAAAATTTTACGTTTAATTTTGAGTTTACTTGAACAAAGTGGATATATATATATATATATATATATATATATATATATATATATATATATATATATATATATAATTTTTTTTTGGGAGGGAGAATCACGTGAAGATTAGGCGCCCCAGCTTATTTCTCTTTATTAAACATGGTAACCAAGGTCTACATTGGATCCTATATAGACTTTGATCCTATCGTTAACCTAGCCTAATCTACCTTGACGTAACCTAACATATGCACCCCAGCAAGTGGTAGGGCGTTTAATCATAAAGTGAAATAAGCTGGGGTGTCTAATGTTCACGCCATTCTTTTTTTTAATGATTTACTGGATCCCGTGACTTTGTTTCCTCTGCAGTCGTGTTCTATGTTGTAAATAAAAAAGTTTTGAGAGAACTGACATGTGATATAGATACACATTACTTAATACAAAGAGAAAATAGTAAACTAACCGAAATTGGGTCGACGTTTGCAGTTGAGAAGTCCTGGTCCGGAAACTTTCCACCCATATTCGGATCTGTGAGTAAACCAGAAACAACTCTGCTGCTGTATACTATTGTGATACCCCACCTAAGCTACCTACAAACTGTCGACGGGTTATAAGGAGTCACTGTCTTCTCATTTAAACGATAATTAACCTCCCTCAATTATGATATTTCCATTTGAACTAATTGAACACTAACATAGTCTTTCGTTATGAACATCTAACATAAAGTACATATATACTGCTCTATGTTATTCTATTGGTCTCTACACAAGGTGTTAAACGTGTAAATGGTCTAACCGCCTGTGATGGTGAAGTCGTCAATCACTTCGACGCTTTCCAGCACCGACTGTGTCAGGGTGGAAGTGGACTGAGATGTTAACAGTTTCAAGTAGATCATCTCATATGTTGAACCTGTATTTTCGAAGGTCACCATTTTCTGCAAACACAGTATTGGGTTGTTATATGTTCGCCTTCACACACTACATAACTTTCCTCACTATAATATAACGTTATACAGACATTACCTTAGCACAAATTACTGCAGCTGTAATTTATTTTCTTTTTAATTAATATATTCAATACGTTCAAGTTTCTTCATTCTTTTATCGTTCATGTCACAGTTACTGCTGCTGATAAACATATTCCTACATTAGATGTGCAGAATACAGTAACGATATTTCCTATATATTTAGAATGTTTAAATTGTAACATACACATACTGCCCACTAACATCTACACACACACACATACAGTATACAGTATATATTCACATGCACTCATGACGACAGCAAAAGGTCAGCTTTCTGCACACACACACACACTTACGTCAGTATCACCCCAGATAAAGTCCTTAATGATGTCGGCAGCGAGGGTGGTCCTAACAAGCAGCAGCAACAGAGACGTGGCGGCCGCACGAGGGGCGCCGCCCTTCATACTCATCACCACCATTCTCACACCACGCACAACACAGCCTGGGTCGAATAGATAATGATTAGAATAAGTACTATATTCCTACGATGTAGCCAGTGTGTGTGTGACCAGCCGCTGTAATATTTACCATGATATAAGAACTAACACACGGGTGCCCAAAAATAATGGGAGACCCACTTATGATAACCCTTTGGTGTCAGAGTTCATGATGTGATCAATATTAGATCGATCTAGATGACAGAACACAAAATTACTGTCTCTACTGAGGACGCTTGTACTGTACAGGGATAATGGTAACGACACTGGTGTGAAATATGGTTACCTGGCCATTAATGATTATCTACCCTTGTCTACCTTCCTTTATCTCTGCATTGACCGGTCAAATGGGTCCCATCCTTGATAATATCCGAAACAAACCATCTGAATTTGGGTCCAGTTCTAATGGGTTCTGGTCCTAATGGTTTGGTTAGGTTAGGGCCTAGTTGGACTTGGGACCCCCCATTTGAACTGCAACTAAACATTTTCTTCACCCTGAAGTCTCATTTTACCCCGCCGTCACACACACACACACCAAATTAACGAGTAAACATACAGATAATTAACATCCCCCACACATGGTTGACATATATTCCTAAGATCAATAACAAAATTAAGTCCTGATTCAATCAATACTGTCGATATTCAACTTTATATGAGAATGTGAAACAACCATTCAATTTGAGAGTTGACATTTGAATATACATGGCATTTGAATTATTAAGAAATAGTAGAAAGAAAAACTTTTTAATGTGCTGATATTTGAGACGCGTCTTCGTGGTAGTGTGGTCAATCAGTCGATAGGTAGCGTAGCGACCACCATAACAGTGCATCTACCATACCACCTGCTCTCTCTCTCTCTCTCCTTTTACTCAATTCAGTGTAAGTATCGTATACGCAAATCTATTGATAAACAGCAATACTCTAAAGAAAATGCAAATTTAAGATCCAATTATTAAAAAAAAAGTCTTTCAGGTATTATTAGAATACTGTTTAAAACTACACTATAATTTGTTGTTTTTCATTTCATTGTTTTCACTGAGACGAATACAGGACAATACTGAACTAGGTAAGGAGATTGATGCCCACATTACTAGACTAAACTGTGCATTAACTGTGTACAACGTAGTGTAGTTAATTAGGTTAGGCTACGCTATGTTTTGTTAGTGTGTAGATAAGGTTAGTTTAGTGTTTAGGTTTTCATTAGTTTATATTAGATTAAGTTAGAATTGTTTTTTGCAAGGTTGGTATACAGTAGTTTCACTTAGCTTTGGTGCATTAGTTTTCTTGGGTTAGGTTAGGGAAAATTTGGTTTGGTTACTTGAATTGTTTAAGTAAAATTGGATTTTGTTTCATGAAATTAGGTTTGGTTTGGTTAGGTTAGAAATTTTCTTTGTTAAGTTAGGTTAGATTAAATTTTCCTTTAAGTTAGGTTATAGTAAGTTTTGCTTTGTTAGGTTAGGTTACATTCGGTTAGGTTAGGTTAGGTCAGATTAGATTTGTCTTCGTTATATTTGGTTTCTCTGTATTAGGGTTAGGTTAGGTTAGGTTAGGTTAGGTTAGGTTAGGTTAGATTAGATTATATTTGGTTTCTCTGTGTTAGGGTTAGGTTAGGTTAGGTTAGGTTAGGTTAGGTTAGGTTATATTTGGTTAGGTTATATTTGGTATCGCTGTGTTTCAGTTTGTTAGATTAAGTTTACATTACCGTCCACTTGGGGATACTCGAGCAGGTAGGAAAATCCACCCCAAGTGACTTATGCATTGAAAACTGGTAGTAAAGGTTTTATTTTACCAGTCTTTATGACCCAAAGCCTTACCTGTGTGTGTGTGTGTGTGTGTGTGTGTGTGTGTGTGTGTGCGCGTGTGTGTATATCTGTGTGTAAATATGAATGTTCTTGAATACGCGTGTGTGTATCCAACTCTTTTTACGACTACATCTAATTGTACCTGGCTACCATGCAAGCACTATCCGACATGTGTGGGGGCGGGGCAGTTGTTCTTTAGACCTTTGGAGTGAGGTAGGCTGATGTGTCATCGTTCAAGTATGCTGTTACTAACAACACAAGTAAACATGGCTGGTATATTTTAATCTACCCAGTGAGGGGGGGGTGTATGCAGACAAAGACACACACACACACACGCACACACACACGCACACACACACACACACGCACACACAAACACACACACACACGCTGGCAATGATTTGTATTGGTTAAAGTTTTCACCTTCCCCAACTGTCTTTAACTGCTCCAACAACCAAGTTAATGTTTCCGTGCAAGGCGTCATAACCTTTAATATTAACCAATATATTCTCTTATAAATGACTCAAGGCGAATATCAATCAGATCATTATGTGAGTGTAAGAGATAGGAGCTATTCACAATCCTTAATAAAACTTAACCATATGTACTGAGCGTTATCCAGTAAGGCTATATTTAAATAATGATCATTGTAACGGTAAGTCAATGGTTGAAATTACAGGTCAAGAGCAAAGATCTCAAAAGTAAATTACACAACCGGTTTTGAAATCACAGCAGGATAGGTTATGGCTCGCTGAGAGAGAAATCACTCACTCAAAGATATAAAAATGAGGTGTGTAAGTTAAATATGACTCATCAGTAACTAAGAGATATAAGAACTTTAACTACCCGAGTGTTGTTAAGGCGCAATAACATTAACACGTGAAATAGCATCAAAACTTACGAACCAAATTCTCCCTTTACAATAGTTTCGTTTTGTAACATACATATCCTTTGAGCGTTTGGCTGCATAGGCTAGAATGGCGCTCGGAAATAAATAGGGTGTGTGAGGGGGGCAGGGCGGGGCGGACATAGTGAAGATAAGGTGTTAGAGCTAGTTGACAGATAAAGCCTTCACCTTCAATAACTAAATAGCCCTGTTCTCGATACTTGTCACTGAGTCTTTATGTTTCAAGTTATGCCTCCTCCTCACGTCACATTATATCTCCTCACGTCACAGTATACCTTCTCACGTCACAGTATACCTCCTCACGTCACAGAATACCTCCTCACGTCACAGAATACCTCCTCACGTCACAGAATACCTCCTCACGTCACAGAATACCTCCTCACGTCACAGAATACCTCCTCACGTCACAGTATACCTCCTCACGTCACAGAATACCTCCTCACGTCACAGAATACCTCCTCACGTCACAGTATACCTCCTCACGTCACAGTATACCTCCTCATCGTCACAGTATACCTCCTCACGTCACAGTATATACCTCCTCACGTCACAGAATGCCTCCTCACGTCACAGTATACCTCCTCACGTCACAGAATACCTCACGTCAATACCTCCTCGTCACATAATACCTCCTCACGTCACAGAATACCTCCTCACGTCACATCCTACGTACCTCCTCACGTCACAGTATATCTCCTCACGTCACAGAATACCTCCTCATCGTCACAGTATACCTCCTCACGTCACAGTATACCTCCTCACGTCACAGTATACCTCATCGTCACAGTATACCTCACGTCACAGTATACCTCCTCACGTCACAGTATACCTCCTCATCGTCACAGTATACCTCCTCACGTCACAGTATACCTCACGTCACATAGTATATCTCGTTCTTGCATCATTAACTATTTCAGTTGAGCGTAAAATGCTATCGATAGCTATTTTATTGACTTCAATATAGCGACTGTGTTTATTTAGTTCATCCTAGCGACCATGTTTACTTCATCCTAGCGACCATGTTTACTTCATCCTAGCGACTATGTTTACTTCATCCTAGCGACCATGTTTACTTCATTCCCAGCAACGGACGGTCGTAATGCCAGAGTACACACGACACGCCATAACGGCCTCAGGTGTTCACGTTGTGTACTGGGTCAGTAAATTATTCAGTCCTCGGTAGCTGTGGCCACGACCCTAAAGACTGTTAATTAAGGTCATTAATGTTGGTAAACCTTCTTTGGGCGCTGTTTGTCGGGCCTCGCTCTAAGAGAAATTTGTCTCAGCCAACTACTAGCTGCTTAACCGTACAGCGAACGTCCATAGCATCAATCAACACAAGTAATGCAACAGTTTGTTTATATTTCAGGTAGGAAATGCCTTAAAATTCCCTTGCAAAATAAGCTGAAGCTCTTCACCGCCTCTGAACTTGTCGAGAAATTATTTATATACCATAAATGTAAAGCTGTAAATCGCAGGCGAGTCAGCGTTCACATTTACTCATAAATTCCAGAGGACTGAGCCCCACCTCCCCCACCCCCCTCCCTGTGGTGGAATATTGTTTATTGTGTTGATTTATGAAAGATTTACACTGCATGTTGTCAAGGTTTGTGTTGTGGTGTGATGTGGTTTCATGGTGATTTTTTTATTATCTGAAATTCTCGGGTTATACTTGACAACACACGAAATGAGTCTTGAGCTTGCCTAATTTCTTTTTATCCCCCCTTGACCATCCCCCCCTCTCGACCACCTCTCTCTCTCGACCACCTCCCCCTCGACTACCTTCCTCTCGACCACCTCCCCCTCGACTACCTCCCTCTCGACCACCTCTTCCCCTCTCGACCACCATCTCCCCCCTCGACCACCACCTTCCCCTCTCGACCACCACCTCGACCACCACCTCTCCCTCGACCACCACCTCTCCCTCGACCACCATCTCCCCCTCGACCACCACTTCCCTACTCGACACCACCTCGACCACCATCTCCCCCACTCGACCACCACCTCCCCTCTCGACCACCACCACATCCCTCTCCCTCTCGACCACCACCTCTCCCTCGACCACCTCGACCACCTTCCCTCCCACCACCTCTCCTCGACCACCATCTTCGACCACCACCTCCCCTACTCGACCACCCCTCGACCTCCTCTCTCCCTACTCGGCCACCACCTGACCACCTCCCTCTCTCCCTCTTTCGACCACCACCTCTCCCTCGACCACCATCTCCCCACTCGACCACCACCTCCCCTACTCCCTCGACCACCACCTCCCCTACTCGACCACCACCTTTCC